GGGTGAGGGCGTGAGGTGCAATGAGCCCGAGCCAGCTCGGCGCCGTGGCAAGGGCGTACCGCCTCACTGCCACCTCGTCCCCCGGGCTGGTCATGCCAACCCAGAGGCGCACCGCGACGGGAAGGCGCACAGGCAGCGGTGCGAAGCCCGACGCGCCGACCGCGTAGAGCAGGCGGCGGCTGCCCATGTCCACCACCAGCGTCACGCGCAGGCAGTCGTCGGCCGGCGGGTTGGGCTCGAGGGCGGGCGGACGCGGCGCCTCCGTCGCGCGGCGGGCGGTCGAGTCGAGCTCGCCCATTGAGAGGAGCAGCCCGCTCCACGGATCGACGGCCCACGCTTGCGAGGCCGGAGGCAGCCCTGCCTCCCGCCGCGACCCGCCGCCGTCGACGCTGCACACCCCCAGCAGCATTGAGATGCTGGCCGCCGCCGCCGCGCTCCCTTGCTGCGGCGGCGGCTGCGGCGGGCGGTGCGCACGCCTCACTTCGTACTCGACGTAGTGCCGCCCGTGCCGCAGCACAGGAGCCTGAACCGCGACGCCGGCGCCGCTGCAGGCGCCGCCGCCGCTACCGCCGCCGCCGCGGCTGTCTGTTGCCGCGGCAAACGCCGTCGTCGTGCCGTTCCGGCGCACGCAGAGGCGCGACTCGGGTCCCAGGCCGCGGGAGAGGTCGGGTCGAAGCGTGGCAGCGGACGGGACCCTCTCGGAGCCGTGCGCTGCAAGCGGCGGGTCGAAGCCCGGCAGCGTGGGGCCGACACGCAGCCCAAGCCGCGCCACCTCGAGCGCCTGGAAGCTTGCGAGCGATCGGAGGGTGTGGAGCAGCAGCATGCGGAAGGACTTTTCGCTCGCGTGCGCATGGGTCCACGCATGCGCCGCCACAAAGAGCGCCGCCGCGTCTGCAGACCCTGACACTGGCGCGCCGGCGGCAAATGATGCGGCCGCGTGGCCCGCCGACGCGGGCTGCGGCACGCCGGTGCCGGAGGCGAGCTGAAGCGCCCTCCTCCAAACCTGCGCACGCACCGCCTCCCCATCCTGCGCGTTCAGACTCAAGTAATCGCCGAACCGCTCGAGCCAGTCGCCCGAGCCAGTGTAGGGCCACATTAGACGTAGGACTCTCGGCCCCGCACCGGCCCCTCACGAGCTGGGAGGAGGACCGCCGTCAGGGGAAGAGACAGCAGGAGAGAGAACGACGAGAGTGGGAAGAACGCGAGGTGGCATGAAGGTCGCTGCGAGAATTGGTGAGAAACTGCGGAGAGAGATAGGAAGTGGTAGACGCCCGAGGGTGGGCGACGGCTAGCACCACACTCCTCTCCTTAAAATCCCTGTGTGGTGGCGGCGTGCCGTCCTCCCATCCCTCCCTTGGGGTGCCTGTTTTCTTTCTTTCTTTCTTTCAAGAGGACCGCCGCAAGCGGCGTGGCGTGGAGCGGTTGTGCATCCCTCCGGGGGCCCCTCTGCGCCGGGGAGGCGTTGTTGGAGGCTAGGACGCAAGCGTCCGTCGCCCTTTTCAAACTCGGGGCCCACTCCGCTACGCTCCGACCCGAATTTGGAGGGCCTAAAAGTTTAAGGTGTTGCTGCGCAAAAGGGGTCGGACACCGGGCGCAGCTCATGCTAAGAGCTAGATAGAAGAGGAGATAGAGAGAACAACCACCCTGTCCCGTTATTGCGTACACCAACACCACAAAACGCTCTCTCTCTCCTGTCCTCACTCAGGGGGGTCACAACTACCAAGTCCCTCGACTAGCTGCCACAGGGCGCAGCTGCCACAGGGCGCAGCTGGAGACGCTCCCCCTTAAGCGATTTTGAAGCGATTTTGGCCCCGTTTTCAACGATTTAGAGCCACTTTCAAGCCCAGGATGGACCCACCTGACGGTCCTGACCAGCCCAGGCCCAGCCTCTCCTCTAACTATTGCCATTACATTGATATTGATCGCCTCTCTAACTATTGGTAATTGGAGCAATATATTCAATATTTTAACACTTCCTTACTTTTGCGCAGCAACACCTTAAACTTTTAGGCCCTCCAAATTCGGGTCGGAGCGTAGGCCGTAGCGGAGTGGGCCCCGAGTTTGAAAAGGGCGACGGACGCTTGCGTCCTAGCCTCCAACAACGCCCCCCCGGCGGGGGCAGAGGGGCCCCCGGAGAAATGCACAACCGCTCCACGCCACGCCGCTTGCGGCGGTCCTCTTCCCAGCTGCAGCTCCGCTGACGCGCTGAGAGCGGGCGTTAGGAGGACCCTTTATCCTTGCCCATCATGACCTGCGTCCCGTTTCTGTCGGACAGCGCCCGTGTCCCGACCTCAAATTCGTCCCACCGCAGTAGGAAGCGCGTAAGCGGATCCTCCTGGAGTTCTGCGTCTCTTACCCACGCGCCGTGCCTCGGGGGCGAGCCCTCCATCTCTCCTAGTCCCGGCACTACTCCTCGCACCTCTTCGCGTGTCGCCAGTTGAGGTCTCGCTACTCCGCTCGGAGGCTCTTGCTCTTTCAGCTCGCACGGCTGCCGGTATCCGAGCGCCTCCTCACTCGCCCTCGCCATCTCTTCCGCCACGTCGCCGGTGTCACTCCAAAAGGTGGATGAACGATGTAAATTGTTTGTTTAGTTCATTTAGGAATTCTTAACCACCTCTAACTACTAACATCACGTGTTTTGTCACAATAGTGGATTCCTATCGGCGAAAAAAACAGATTCCCAAGCCGCAGGGCACGCTCTAAAGATGGTGCTAAAAACAAAAGGAATTTTACAAACGGGGGTGCAAAAGATTTCAAGAACATATCTGGCCAAAAAGAATTAAACAAACAACGGCCGAACAACCTCCAAAAGCGTCGGTGTGTGCGTATCTATGTGTCTGAGAGATGCGATAGGTTTCCCGAACCGATCTTCCTCACTATCGCTTGCCTTGATCGATCGGCGACCCTTCGATAACAGATAAGCCTCTCTCAGGATCACAGACACCCCTCTCAGGATCACAGCACCGGCGGGGGGGCGCCTGAGGGAGGGTGTAGAGGATGTAGAGTGTAGAGCGCTGTAGAGCTGTAGAGATGTAGAGCGCTCCGGAGTGCTGTAGAGCTGTAGAGCTCTACATCCGCCGCGGGACGAAGCGGGTGCGTTGTAGAGCGATGTAGAGGCTCTCTACAACGTGAAATCTCTACAACAAACTCTACATCATAAGCGGCGAACGAGGCACGGTCGCTCTCCGACATGAGGCGCGTTGCATTTGCCAGTGCTGCCCTGGCCTTCTGTCTGCCCGCCCAATGGGTGGCAGGTGCCTCTGCTGCTGTGGCATGCCTCACGGCTACGACTGGCCGGCGCCTCGGCGCGTCAGCTCGGCTCGGCGTAGCGATCGTAGCCAGCGCAACTCGCCTGGACTCAACGCTCAGCCAGGAGCTCCCGCACGCGCTGGCGCGAGGCATGGCGCATGCAACGCGTCTGAATGCTCGCCCCGCCTCGCGCAAATGCGACCGCCCTCGCAGCCGACAGTCCACCGCCTGCTAAAGAAGCACAGCGATGAATGCGGCACCGGCGACGCATGGCAGGCTGGTCATGACGCAGTTAGGGTGTTTTGTGCCGTCAGAGTGACTCTCTGTGTGTCAGGGATAGTCAGGGCCGTCCATCAGAGCTCCAGTAAGCTCGGAGACACCCCATTAGTGCGACTCGACCTCTTTGAGTCACTGCCTTCCCGGCGGTTTGGCTGTAGAGCCTCTACAACAAACTCTACAGCAAAATCGCGCTCTACATCGCTCTACAACGCACCCGCTTCGTCCCGCGGCGGATGTAGAGCTCTACAGCTCTACAGCGCTCTACATCTCTACAGCTCTACAGCGCTCTACACTCTACATCCTCTACACCCTCCCTCAGGGGGGCGCCTCAGGATCAAGCACCCACGGCAGGGTCTGTGGGGATCAGCAGACCTGGAGGGGGCGCGCTGAGGATCATAGGCCTGAGAGGGGTGCTGTCAGGATCACAGGCCTGCAAAGGGTGGCACTCGAGATCAGAGCGCCAAAATAGGTGCAATACAGATAATCGAGTGGGCTCCGGTTCGAGCTCGGCAGGTTGACTCTCTTATATTTTTCACACCTGAGCGGGCTCAATTTTGCTCTAGGTGCCTCCTACGGATTCGAACCCACGTTTTTCGGCCAGGCGGCCGGTGCGTTGGTCGTTCTCGTCATGGGAGTGGTTCTCGAGGTGGATCCTTTGGCCGAAAGAATTTTTCACGTCTCACGAGGCACGCGGCACGGGGGCCGACGGGGCGCGCACTGTGTTCTCCTCTTCTTGTATGCTTTGTACATCGCGTCGATTCCTTTTCGCGTGAGCACCATCCTGAAGCTCGCCCAGCAGCGGAACCGCTCCCTAAGTCGAAGGAGCATCATCAGTCTCACCCACTTCGCTCGCTGCCCACTGTCTCCGCTCCCTCCCGCTTGAGCCGCCGTCGCGGCCCTCGTTCGTCCCACTGGCTGCTGGCCTGTCTGCACGTTGCCTCCGTTATCCCTCCTCCTCCGCGACTCCCTCAAGGCCGGGCGGGCCTCCTTCCACCGGGCTATGGGGCTCCCCCTCTCAGACAAAAATAACTTAAATATGCTATGGGGCTCCCCTCCTGCCGGCTAGCTCCCCCCTCCAGCATGGGATGTATCACGTTGTGAGGTGGGGAGGGATCCCCTGTTCCGTCTGAACACGTGTGTTTGCGCTATGTATGATTACTGCAGGTGCAGCGGTCGCGGGTCAGTCGCGGTCCGCGCGGTCCGCGCGCGGGATCGGTATAATTTCACGCTCGGGGGTATGATAGCACGGACATGAATTCTTACTCATGATATCAACAGACCCATCATTATATCACAAATCATGTGCAAATCATGCTTTTCTCCATGATTTCACAGAGCCGGGGTTTTCTAGATGCTCTGTGAGAGGGTCCTTCCACTTTTTATACGTATTGCGTGACGAGATTGGTTCTGAGATTGGTTCTTCCTTTTTGAAGAAATAAAAAAAATGCCATGCCGAGATGTCTAGATGGCGGTGTGCCGCGCTGCAGGACCCGGACCCAGGCGGACATTGAGACAAACAAGGAGGTGACAGGAGAACGACACCGCGCCCTCCGGCCCCTGCCCCCCCACACCGCGCGAAGAACAAACATGTGCGCGCACCAACTACAGCCGCTTCTTGTCGGCGGCGCGGAGCGGCCGGGAGCTCGAGTCCAGCGCGGCGAGGCCACCGCCGCCGCACGCGCGCCCGCTGCCCGCCTGCTGCATCTGCTGGAAGTCCGCGACGGTCCCTGCGGCGAACAGAGGAACCGATGAGATTTGGGCGGCGGGTCGGCGGAGGGCGAGGCGGGGGCAATCGCGCGCCGTGGCGGGCGGTGATGGTCGCGCCCTGCGCCATAGTGAACCAGAGGGGGAGCGTCGCGAGCGCAGACGCGGCTGAGATGCAAGCCGTGAGCAGGAAGACCCCTCGCCAGCCCGCGCGCTGCTGCAGAAAGCCGAGCGGGAGGCCGGCCACAGCGCCTCCGACCTGCGGCCCCGAAGGCGGAGGGGAAGGGGTGTGGGCCTCGGCGCGCGCTGCAGCTGGGTGGGGCTCCTCCGTGCGAGACGGGCGGGAGGCAAGGACGCGGCCGCATCGACGGGCGATGGGCGCGGAGGGGGGGGGGGTGTGAGTGGTGTGCGTGTGCGTGTGGGTGAGCATGTGTGTGTGTGTGCATGTGTGTGCATGTGTGTGTGGCGCGCGCGTGCGTGCGCGCGTGCGTGTGTTATGGGGGGGGGCGCGCCTGTGCGATGCACTTGACAAACCCGCCCGCCGACGATGAGAGGTGCTGCGGCGTCACCTCGCGCGAGAAGAGGCCGAGCAGGACGTGCACCGGGAAAGCGCAAAAGCCAACCCACGCGTAGGCCGCCTGGGGTGGGGTGGGCCAGGGCGGGTTGGGGCGAGCGAGTGGGCGGGGCGGGGCGGGGGGGAGGTGGGTGGGTGGGTGTGGAAGAGGGCCGCCTGGAGCGCCAGCGGGCTGTCGAGCACGAGGATGGCGACGAGGGCCGGCACGAGCAGCGAGGAGCAAATGCAGACGACGGGGCCGCGCCTGACAGATGTGCGTGCTTGTGTGTGTGCTTGTGTGTGTGGGGGGGGGGGGGGGCGTATCTCGGCTGTGTCTCGGCTATATCTCGGTGAGCGAGGGGGGAACGTATCTTGGCTGTGTCTCGACTATATCTCGCCGGCCGGCGAAGAAGCGGTCCGAAGCCGCGCCGGCGACGAGCGAGCCGACGAAGCCGCCGCTCTCCATGGCGAAGAGGCAGCGGGCAGCCGTGTGCATCTGCATGCCCTTGGCCTCCTCCAGGAAGATGGCGCTCCAGTCGGAGAGCGACGTGCGCACGAGCGAGATGCAAAAGTACGACGCGCCCTGCGCCGCCAGCGGTGGACGCGTCGGCGGGCGTGGTGGTGGCGGGCGTGCGGACGCAGGGCCGTGCGTGCGGAACCAGGGCCCTGCGAGATCAGGGGCGCGTGTCTGGGCCAGGTGGGAGGGTGTCAGAAAAGTCAGAGACGTGTCTTGCTCTGAATCTCTCGCACCATCAGCCACAGCTCCCCATTCAGCAGCACGTGCTTCCCGAGCATGCTCGCAAGCCTGCGGCGACACAAAGCGGTGGGGGCGCGAACAGAGGACCAAGCACTGCATGGTGGAGCCGAGGGCTACGTACGCAGTGGCTGCGGTACAGCTGTTGCCGAGGGATGGAAGGCCGACACAAGCGCGAGTATTCCTCATCTAACCCTCGCGCGCCCCGAGCCGCCGAGCTTGCGCTGCGGCGCGTCGCGCGCTACCTGCATATCCCCCTTGCCGTGCACCGCTGCGACCGCCGCCGGCGAGCCAAACAGCAGAGCGGCCAGCACGAACGCCGCCGCCGCCGCCGCCGCCGCCGGCGTGTAGACTGCAGCGCGCCACCCGAACCGCGCAACCGTGGCGGAGACGACGAGGGGCACCAGCGCGGCGCCCGCGTTCTGGCAGGTCGAGAGCAGCGAGTACCACGAGCCTCGTGAGGCGGGGTCGGGGAACCACGCCAGGAAGACGTTTGTGATGGAGGGCCAGCCAAACGACTAAAGAGGGGGGGGCAGGGGAGGGGGGGGGGGGGGGAGGCTAGGTTGTGTGAGCGGACAGCTTGCGGACAGTGAGGATGGCGGCGGCGGCGGCGGCGGCGGCGGCGGCGGCGGCGGCGGCGGCGGCGGCGGCGGCGGCGGGGGTAGATACGCAAAGGCCGCTGGTGCCAGCAGCGAGCTAAGCAGGCTGCTAAAGCGTGAGAGACAGCGGCAGACGCGGCGAGGGTGGCATGCACCTGCGCCACGCCATTGCTGCCCCAGAGAAGCGCCATCATCCCGAGCGAGCCTGCCGAGCCGAGCGCGACGTTGACGCCCGCAGAAGTGAGCAGCGCGCCCACCAAGAGTGCCTGCAGCCGAGGACGCGCGCGGCAAGTGAGCCGGTGCGGCGCGGCTGGTGGCAAGCGTGGGCGCGGCGAGGGAACGGCCCCCGTTGCGCAGGGCGCCCAGCCAGCGGCGCATTTGCGTGATGCTGCGCGGCGGCGGCGGCGGCGGCGCGGCGGGGTGGCGGCGGAACAGCGGCAGGGGCGGCGGGGATGGTGGCGGCGAGCGAGCGGCGGCGGCGGCGCGCCGCGCGCCTTTGGAGGCACGAGGTCGATCAAGATGCCATTCAGCAGCGCGCAGGAGCCGTACGCGATCTCAAAGGTGGACCCGAGCATCCCGGCCTCACCCTTGCCCGCGCCAAGCTCAGACAGCACCGATGGCAGCCAGAAGCCGTAGTTTTTGCGCGCGAGCAGCAGCGTCATGTACGCACCGTAGATGAGCGCAAACTCGCGCCAGCGCCAGCGGCTAGTGTCAAAGGTTGCGCTGGGCCAGCCGTCGTCCGACGACTCATCGCGCGCGCGGCGGAGCGGCGACTGGCGTGCGGCCTGCCGCGCCGCCTCTGGCGCGGCCGCGTGCGCACGCTGCCGCAGCTGGGCCTCGACCGCAGACGCGGCTGCAGCCGCCTTGGCGTGCGCTGGCGACGCCGCGAGGCTGCTGCTGCTGCTCTGCTCGTTCTGGACGAGAGAGCGCTCGCTGGCGGACCGGCTGAGGCACATCTGGGGCTGTCGAGTGGTGTGGGCCGCCCGACGTCTGGCCTGGCCTGGACGAGCCTGCGCACCGAATAATGAGGGTGGAAAAAAAGGCTGGCGGTCGACTTTCAAAAAAAGCAGGGAGGGAGATGTGGAGCACTTGGAGTGTGTCGTGGAGGAATTTTTTTTCAAGTTCTGCTGCGGCGCTGGTACCTGCTCGGGCGCCTCGCCGCTGCGCGGCTCTCCTCGGCTTCGCGTTGCCGACGTCGCCTCCGTCGCCACCATGGGTGTGTCGCGAGCCTGCCCCGTGTCATCGCCCGTTGGCCGCCAGCATGTGCGTGCACACTGCACAGCACCCTCCCTCGCCGCCGCGCAGGGAAATGGTGTTTAAGATGCTCAACAAAGAATTTGTTGGAAATTGTGTTTTAAGAGCGCGAACTCGCCGTACTGAGCCTAGCGCAGCGCGAACTCGCCGTCTGAGCCTAGCGCACGAACTCTGCTCTCCTGTTCATAGCGGCGCCGGCCAGGCCCTGCGCGAATAATGAGGGTGGAAAAATAAGGCTGCAGTCGACTTCTACCCTTATAAGTCTCTCGTGTCGGCGCCGACGCTCTTTTAACGTAGAACGTCCCAGCTGAACACCGCCCGCCACGATCGATCAGTCCACAATCGTCGGCCCGCAGCGACCCGCAGCGATGGATGCCGCCGCCCCCCCGGCCCCTACGGCCGACGCGCCGATGCACGACCGGCCTCCGTCGGACGGCTCTCCGGCCTCTCCGGCCGCTGCCGCCCGCGCTGCTGCCGATCCAGTCCCTCTCACGCTCAGCGATACCCGCACAACCTACGACGACAACTTTGGTCGCCGGCTTTGGCCAGGTGCAGCCACCACCTGCTTGCCTCCATGTTCACGCTTCGCGCCCCTCCCCCCCCTCTGACGCCGCCGTATGACCTTAGGTGAGGGGCACGACTACTCGCCTGGAAGGCGCTCTCATCAGCAAGTCACCCAGGCACCAACTCCTGGGCGTTTACGCTTGACTACGAAACCATGCAGTGGATGCAGCTCGATCAAAACGGCGACGCCAACAGCTGGCCCCTGGGCGAGTTCCTTGCGCTCAGGATGAGGTGCGAGCCATGATGCTCGACTATCAGCGTGCACCAAGTCGCTCACATTCCGTGAGTTCGTCAACGGGCCGAACTCTCCAAGTCGACGGCGATCTCGAACTCCGACAACTGGACCGGTGCACCAGCCGCGTAGGACGATGGCTCCCTCGACGACATCCCTTCATCGACGGACGCCTTCACCGCCGCCGGCCCTGGGCCATCCAGCGCGGCCTCCGACGGCCTGCACGTGATCGAGGTACAGAAACGGTGGCTGCCGCAGCTCACACCCTAATCTATCTGCCTTAGGCACGGAGCCAACGGAGCCATCGCGCATGCCCGCATCGCGTGCGGCTCCGAGGTCTCCCGCCGAGACCGGCTCGGCGCGGCGCGTGGCCGCACGCCGCCGTTGAAAAGGCGATAGGAGAGGGGAGAGCGCCGGCCACATCGAGCGAGCGCTGACGTGTAAGGTGTCTGCGCTGCTCCGGTGTGTGTGGGATTATGCCTCCCCCCATCTGTGCGGCGAGGTGTTTGCGGTGGGTGCGATGGCCGATCGTGCGCGATGGCCTACCATTGTGCGTGGTGTGTCGGTGTGTCGGTCGTCCGGAGCGTGTGGCGGCGCCGTTGCATGCAGCGACTCTGCTCACGCGCCACGACTGCTTTGACTGACTTATGAGTGCTGATGGATGATCTCCGACAACCCAAAACCAAAATGAAAATGCGGAGTGGCCCCACTTTGGCGTGCAGATCCAGAGATCCTGCGTCTCTCACTGCCCGCGAACAACAGAGGCGGGTCCGCCGCAGGTCCCCCACTAGTTCAAAAAAAGCAAGGAGAATTTTACGATGGTGTTGTGAGGCGTAATAAATAAATACAACGGACACGCCAAATTGTTGTGAGGCGTGGGCTCGCGAGCGCCAAAAACTTTGTTTTTGCGCGGCCGAGCAGGCTACAGCCCTCGCCTTGTGGCCGCTCCGCACGGGCGCGTCGCTCAGCGACCCGATCGAGGCGCGATCACTCGCCTCGGTGGTGCTCGTCAGCGCGGCGGCGAGGCGCTGGCGGCAGGCAAGGCCACGGTGAGTTGGCGGCGGGCGCGGGCGGCTTGCTGCGCCTGCTGCTTGGGCTGTGCGGCGCAGAGGCACCGTCCAACGCGCAGCTGCGGGTGCTCAACGGTCAGGTGAGTGCGGAGCGAGAGCAAGGCGTGGCTCGACGGCCGCAGCCACGCAGGAGGGCGGCGTGAGCTCGTTTGGCTACAGCAGCACGTGTGCATGCAGTGTTGTGCGTGGCGCCCGGACCGTGTCCAAGCAGATCCTCGACGCCCAAGCAGCTCCTCTCCGGGCTGCAGGGCGGAGAAACGGTGTGGAGGGCGCGCGGGCCGCCCCGCCTCGCTGTCACTTAGACGCAGACGCGGCCCGTTTTGCCGCTTCTTCCGCGACGCACCGGTCGTCGTGGTGTCATCGCGCACGTTTCCCGTCACGGTGCATCCTCGCCGCGCCCAGGCTGCTGCCCGGACCCTCCCCTGACCCTATCTCGGAGCCCGTCCCCAGACACTATGTCACCGCGCGGTGAGGTGGTGCGAGCCGCCGCCCTCGCCGACAGAGGGCGTCGAGCCCGCTGCCCGCTCGTGCTATGAGTGGCACGTGCTATGAGGGGCACGGCGCGGGCACGCCTTCTCGGCGACTCGTTGGAGGTGCGCTCGCTCGCGGCGGCGGTGCGGGTGCTGCGCGCGAGCCGTCGCCGCCGCTCGGCGTGCAAGGGTGCGCACTGCCGACGCAGCTGGCAAGAGGGCGTGAGCTCGTTTGGGTGCAGTTGGAGCACTCGGGGTGGCAGGCTTGCGCGGCGGCTGAGAATTATTCAGACCGTCTGACAAACGCTCGGATCATCTCTGCGCCGCGGTGGATGAATTGCGACGGTTTGATTGGCCGACGCCAATCCTGGTCCGCCAGTATACTCGATTGCGGACTGGCGACGCTCCCGGCACCAGCTGCGTGACTGCTCAAAATTGCGACGGTGCCTGTGCTGACTCGCCGCGCTGCGTCAGACGCCCACCCTCGCGTGGGAGCGTGCGCAGGAGGGAGCTTCGGCACGACCCAGTCGCGCGGGCAAAATTGGCACCGTCCCGGACGCGTTCGGCATGATGCCCTCCGAAGACAGCCGAGAGACAGATGCGATCTCTTAGCGGCCAGAGCACGTGCGCAGCCCTGGCGGGCGTATCCCTGCGGACGCACCGTCGGCGGCTGTCCGATGCCGGTGGGCGCACCGCCGACGGCGTGCCGAGTAGCGTCCAATGCTTTGGCGTAGGCCGCAATGGAGGGCAGGCAGCCGCAGGCAGCGCGGTGGCCGCCCAAATCGTCACGAGATCGGCGGGCGCCTGCCGGCCGCTCCGGCTGTGGCGGAGATGGCGAGTCCGCGCCGGATCGCAAAGCTACGGCGCGTCGGGAGCGAATGCGGGGGGCGGAGGAGGCTGGGGCGAGCAAAGCACAGAGGCTGCGCTGCGCGGCCCTGGCCGCCCTCAAATCGGCACGAGAATCGCGTGTGCACAATAGAATCGTAGCGCGTGTGTGTGTCGGCACCTCGTGTATTCTCCACAGTTTTTTTGTTCTGGCGCGTGTCACAGGGACGGGGGACAAGAGCGTGGATTGCGTGTCATTCATAGCGACGTAAAAACATTCCAGAAGCGAAAGGCGGCGCCTTGCATCTGGCGGACGGCACACTCAGCGAGCGTCGGCGCTGCAACGCGCGGCTCGAGCGATCGGCTCCACTTCTCCGCGCCACCATGCCGCGCACCCCCGCTCGCGCCTTCCGCTCCCTCGCGCTCATCGCTCTGGCCGCAGCGGCCAGCGCGCTGTCGCTGGCCCGAGATTCAGCGCCGAATCTTCGGCGGTCGACAAGACTGTGCATCTATACCGTGCCGGCGCTGCTCGTCTCCAACTCGTCCGTGAACGCGCTGCTCGTCTCCAACTCGTCCGGGCAGCCTGTGTGGCGCTCAACCGCGACCGGCTTCACCTCCAACCCTGCCGTCGCCTCCGCTTGGCAGCACCGAGCCTCCCTGCACTGCGCCTCGCCTGCCAGCTCCCTCGGACCAGTTGCGGGCGTGGGATCTGGCGAGGCGGCGGACGGCACCGAGGCCGCGGATGGCGCTGAGGCAGCCGGCGCGCTGTCGTGCCCGTCTCGCGCCAACCAGTCCAACGAGTCATACGACACCCTCCCCGAGCACTGCGCGACCGACCCGCTGCTCGCGCCGGCCGACCTTCTCTCGCCGGCCGCGCGCTCGCCGCTCTCCGCACCGGACTCGCTCTCCTCCGTGCACGCGCTGCGACCGCCGCTGCCCGGGCAGCCGACTTGGTGCTTGGCTGCCGCGTGTGTTGGCTTCCCCGCCAACTCCGCTGTCGCCTCCCTGTACTGCGCGTCGGATGCCGGCTCCCTCGGACCGGAGGCGGGCGTGGGACCTGCCGTGGCGGCGGACGGAGCCGAGACCGCGGACGGTGCGCTCCTGTCGTCAGTCTTGTGTGAGGGCGTCGGGCGTGTCGGGAGTGGGTGTCGCTCGTGCTCGCCTTGCCGCAGGCTCGAGGACTCCGAGGCTCGTGGGCCCACTTGCCCTGTCGTGACCCCGCGTGTCGTGGGCAGCACACTCCGAGAGTGTGATGCGGGGTCCACCCCGGGCGCCACCCTCCCGGTCATAAGCGCTTCTGAGCAGACCGGGGGGGACAATCGGGGGGTGTCGACAACGCAACAACCTTACGGGGTCGCACAGTGGCCGCCAGCATCTGCTGCCGCCCCGCGACCCTGTCTGGGGGCACCGTCACACCACGGGTGTTGCTTTTTTAACAGCGCACTTCGACAGGGCAGCGCAACGTCAGCAGAGTCAACTCGAGTGTCAACGGCCTACGTGCGGCACCTTGCCCTCCGAGGCGGTCAAGCTCGAGAGAACCATCCCGTGTGGCATCTACGCTGCCAACGACGACTCGCTCCCGCCGGGATCTGGGTCGACCAGTACCGATGGCGTTCGAGCACCAGGACGAGGAGGCGCCGTTCTCGCGTCTCCCGTCCCCGACAACTCCGACATGGACATCTTCGTTGGCGGCACGCCCGTCAACGAGACCATCGCCAGCCTCTTCTCTTGCGACGCCTCTCCGCCGCCCGCCGACGAGGACTCGCGGGTGAGCATCTTCTCCGTCATTTACACGCTCATCGTCTTCGTCGTGAAACTGTGTCGGGCCGCCGCGTTCGCCTTACTCTCAATCATGTACACGCTGGTCGCCTGCCTCGTGGACATGCTCCGGGCCCTCGTCTTCACCCTCTTCTCACTCGCCTTCGACATCGCGTGCACGCTGGTCTCACTCGCCTTCGACATCACGTGCACGCTGGTCCCCTGCCTCGTCGATTTGTTCCGCGCTGCCGCCGTCGCCTTCTCCGGCAAAGCGGCTGACGACTCGTCCTACCTGGGCATCGCCCACTGTGGCCTCGCGAGCCGGCGCGAGTACCGCGACACCTTCCGGCCATGGTCGCGGCGCTCGCCCAATTCGAAGTCTCCAGATCGAAACCTGTGCTTTGGCCAATCTGTCTGTCACTGTCTCCCTAGCTTGGGGGGCGTCTTCTTTCTTTACTTGCAGCGCGCACACTCCGCCACGCCGAAGCTCTAGATCATCCCCTCTCAAACACGCCGCCGCCCAATCTGTCTCTAGCAAGGCACCAGTGCCACTCAGAAGTACTTGCCTGAAGATGGGCCCTTACCCTCGCCGGGCGCCATCTCCCGAAGCATCGACTGGCCAGCCGGTCCCGAGAAGAAGCGCCGGCCCGTGCTGGCGAGGTCCTTGAGGACAGAGAGCCGCTGCCATTCGAGCTCGTACTTTCTCTTCGTCTCCAGCCCCTTGGTCGAGTTGTTCTCCGCCTCTGCCACAGCGACCAGCGCGTCGGCGTTGTTCTTGGCCGCGGCCAGCTTAGCCTCCGACTCGAGGATCCGCACCCTCGCTTGCTCCTCGACGGTGAACTTGCGCTTGTCGCACTCGATCTGCGCGCCCCGCAGGATCATCTCCGCCTCGCGCTCGCCCTCCTTCGCCGCCACGTCAAAATCGCCCTTCGCGCGCGCGATTTGCACCTCCATGGCACTCTTCGCCTCCATCTCACGGACGGTGCTCGCGCCCGTGAGCTCGTCCACCCGCTCCTTGTGCTCGATCTCGTACCGCTGGCACTGCGCGAGCAGGTCCTGCTCGCGCCGCGCGTTCGTCCGACAGATCGTCTCGAGCTCCTGTGACGCCTGGTCACTCAGCACCCGAATTGCGTTCTCGTGCTTTTTCGCCTTCTCTGCGATGCGCGTGCGGAAGGTCGTCGTCTCCTCGAGCAGCGACGCCAGGGAGCGCGGCAGGGCAGTCTCGGTGATCTTGACCGAGCGGATAATGACGCCGTACCTAAGGTGTCGAGCAGATATTTACCACCTCCACTTGTTTAGGGGACGTTTGCCGGGGACGTGGCGTGGCGCGCGCACGGCGCAAACGTCGAGGAAAGAGACTTTAACATGCCCATGGCGAACTCCTCACGCAGGTCGTTTACACGATCGTGCGTCACCCCGTAGACCAGGCCGCGGATGCCCTCCTCCACAACGTTGGAGAGAAACTCGTCGAAACGCTGGCGCGAGAGGGGGGGAGGGGTCAAGAGGTGGCGCCAATATGGGCGGTGCGTGCGATCCGAGGATATCGCGCGTGGTCTTGCACACACCTCGGCGCCAATCTTATAGACAAAGTCATATGCCGCGTCACCATCCGGCCCGATGGAGAAGGTGACGGAGAGGTTGATGTCCACCATCACGTTGTCGGCTGTCGGCACCTGAGGAGACAGTGGTTGTGTCCGGAGAGAGCACCCAGGCAGGGCAGTGAGGCAATCGGTTGGATCTTCAGAATTCACCTGGCGCGAAGGCGCCGAGTAGGTAACCGTGGCCTTGTTGACGATGTGCGAGATCTTGTTCCAAAAAGGCCTGCCACGGCAGTGGTTGGGCTACAGTAGGATTGGGGTGGGCGTCTCACGTGAGGGCGAGCAGTGGAGCGGTGGAGCGGTGGTGGCGGCGTACCAGCAAAATACGCAGCCGGGATCCATCTCGCCCTGGTGTTTGGACCAGGTCTGCTTCAGGACAAAGTAGCCGCTTGGGATGGCCATCGGTGGTGCGCAGGGGCAGCAGCAAAGCCCGAAGCAACAGGAGTCTGCTGAGGATGGCACGGCAACGAGGCAGATCTCCCTGTCGTCAACGCGGTTGAACGCCTCTGCAGCGCCAGTGGGGAGCAAAATCCTGCGCTGCACGCACTGGCTGTGTTGCACACCATTGAAGGCGCCCTGATCCTGACCGTACGAGCCCTGCGTGTGCATAGTGGCGACAGGCCGACAGCGGAACCGTCCAAGACAGGAAACACGGGGAGGGGCCGATATCCTTAGGATCCTCCGACGGACCGTCGCGTCCAGCGCCAGCAGCCGGCCCGCTCGGCGGCCGCTTCCCAGCGCCGCCGGCCAGCCTCACACTGACCTTTGGCACCTTCGCGCGATGACCACGCTGTTCAGCACGGACATCGGGAGCACCGCGGGGGCGTTGGAGATATTCGGGAGGGAGAAAGGACTGTTGATTGTGCGGCCAGGCCGCTCATGCCTTCTCCCATGGTTCGAGGTGGACTCCGCGCACCGCCCACTTTGCACGGCCCGCAACAGCCCTGCAGTGCCGCACTGATGAATTCTGTGCTGGTTCCGCTCGAGCACATAGCTTTCAAGCAGCGCTGTCCACTCGAGCAGACCGACAACCCGCGTTGCCGCCCGCGTTTTGTCCTCAGGTGCCAGAGGGCTGCTATGCGCTCGTCTCGAGCTTTGGCCGCATCATGAACCACTCCTCGGGCGAAATCGTGTGGCCTCCGGGCCGCCACTGCGGGATGCCGTGGATGAAATGCGACAGCCTGGTGAGCAAGGAGCACGTCGTCTTCAACATGCCCGTGAAGGGCTGCAAGACACAGGATAACGTGACCGTACAGATCAACCTCGCCGTCGTATTCCGGTGTGTGTCCATGCTCGCCCGCCCCGCTCTGACTCGAAAGACCGACTGCCGCTGACACCCGTTGGCTCGGGGGCGCACACACTCCGGTGTCTGTGCATCCTCTTACCCGCATGCCCGTGGCCGCAGCGTTATGGGCGACACCGACAAGGGAGAGGACTCAAACCACGTCTACGGTGATTTTCCCGCCTAAGCCTCGCTGTACACCTACTTCCCACCTGTCCACCACCATCTTCCCACCTTTCGTGTCCAGACTTTGTGTACAAGATCACTGCGCGCGGGCTGCAACAGCAACTGACGGACGCCTGCGAGGAGGCGACCCGCTCCATCGCGCGATCTCTGCTTCACACCGAGGTGTGTGGCCGCCGCGCTCCAGCCACTCCCCCCCCCCCCTCCCTCCCCCCTCTCGCTCTTTTCCTCCCCCCCCCCCTCTACCGGGCATCGCTGGCGCTCCTGCCCGTGATTGCCATCGCACATCAGTCTGCTGTCTGGAGTGATCTGTCGGCGGTCAGTACGACCGATCAGGTTGGAAGTTTCTTATGGTTAGAGGGTCTATCTGTATGTACTCCTCGAGATCTCTCCAAATCTGCCCTCTGATCAACCGTGATCATTCGGGAAGTCGGTGCTAGTAGAGACTAGTAGAGCCGTGGAGCCCCGTTTTTCCACACTGCTGCGCGGCGCACGGTGCCTCCGGGGGCCCCCGCCTCCCCCCAGAGTGCTTGTGCGTCTTGGGTTTGTGTTTGTGATTGTGTGTGAACTCCTGAGAAGGCAAGTTGCATCAGATCACAGATGTCGAGGAGTGAGACGCGCAGGGAGGACGGAGAGCATTGCTAGAAATCGTACTAAACTCTGTGTCGAGCGGGAGCTCGGTCAGGGTGGTAAAGAGATGTAGGACCGTCCTTAGGTCCGCCTCTCACACCCTCATCCCGATCCACTACGTTTCGTTTCATTAGGAAAAGAATTTTACGATCCACTCCACGATCCACTCCAAGTGGATCGTGAAATCACCACCAAGCTCCCTCCACCCCAAAGAAAAGAATTTTAGCACGCGAAATTTTACCACAAAGCTCCCTCGCACCACACTGGGCACGGGACTGGCGTGCACTGTTAGGAAAAGAAACGCATGGTTCCCGCTTATCACTGGCAGTCTCTCGCCAGGGCAGGGCTAGAATGATGGGAGTCCCCCCTCTACTCGGAGCTACAACAGTGGAGCTACACAACACGCCCGACTCTGCGGGCGAGGACGGCTTCCGGGGACGAAGCAGAGACGAACCCAGACCGGTAACGCATGAGCAGAGCAGCCCTATCGCCGGCGGACGCGCAGCAGAGGCCGCGCCCGCGGCGCAGCGCCCCCGCGCCTGTGGCTCACCCAGAAGCGCTCTTTGTTGCCAAAAACTTTGTGCAAGAAGCAAAATCGAGCGGCGACGGGCGACGGTGTACGCGCTGGTTCCAAAAGCTGGCTGGCAGTGAGAGGTATCAAAGATGCGCTGTGGCGCTCGGAATGACCTGCGCTTCACACTGAAGCCCCCCACGCTAGCGCAAAGCCGCGTACCGACCATGTCAACCAATCACGCACGCGACGCCTACGAGCTCTCAGCAATCGCGCCGAGCGCGGCGTGGCCGCTCCTTTCGCGCACCAGCCGGCAAACTTGAGCACCACCCCCGGCAGAGACGCGTCGTGTGGCGATTCCAACGGCGGCGCGCCAAAAGCAAACCGCTTCAGCGCGTGTGCTTTTGGCGCTTCGTGCCGCCCACCCCGGCCGCCTTCTTGACGGCGTCGGCGAGCGCGCGCACGGCCGCCGCCGTCTCGAGCCAATCGAGGCACCTACAGCGAGACGCATTCGGGCAGTGGGGGCGCGACATGCCCCTCGGCCGCGATTGGCCCCGCGCGAGTCGACGGCACGGCTCTCCGACCGACAAGCCGTGGATTAGCGGCTCGCCTACACGGCACACTCCAAAGCTCAGGGAGGCGGCGCCACTCACATGTACATGTGACTCCGCCGCAAGCAGCGCGCTCTCCTCCGAGCCGCGCCGGCTGGTGGCCCGAGAGGAGGTGCGACGAGAGGGAGACGCCGCGCACTGCGGGGGCTTTGCCCTCGCCGACGAGCGCGGCAATCTCGCGCAAATACTGCGCCTGTGCCGCGGGGGAAACCTCCGCCCCGCCGCACTCGACCACGACGGGGCGGCTGTCTGCGGCGGCGGCGATTGCCGCCGCGGCGGAGAGGCTCGAGCGAGGCAGCAGCGTGGCGCAATCTCTGTTTCCGGTCGCGTGGACGATGCCTTGAGCAGGGGCGCAGCGACTCAGGGGGAGGTGGAAGGGGGGAGGGGGGGGGGGGGGGAATACCTGAGCACCGTGTGAGTGCGAGGCCTGCCGATACGGCGCGAGGGATGCAGCCGAATACATGTCTTCTCGAGCGCTAGAGCTCGGGGAATGTGTATCCAGCAGTTTCATCACTGTGCCGGCGATGCCATGGGCGGTGACGCCGTAGAAGTCCGCGCGCCCCGACGGGTCGTCTTCCGAAGAGAGTGGAGCGCCGTCCTCGCGCTGTAGCGGCGCTCCCGCAGCGCGGAGGCCAGCGGGCATCGAGAGGCCGGCCACCAAATTGCTCAGCGGTCGCGACTCGGCGCTCACCGACGCCCACGAGAGCAGATCTGCAAAGTACTGCGGCGTGACCGTCTCCCCAAACTCGACCGCCGCAGGCACGCCGAGCGCGCCGACGGAGAGGAGCAGCCGCCGCGCGCGCCGCAGCCCCTGCTTGAACACACCTCCGGCCTCACCGCTCGGGCGAGAATCGGCGCATCTCCGAATTGGCGCATCTCCGGTCATCTCCGGTCATCTATAGTCATCTCGGGTGCCCGTTGCCTCGTTGATGCGGAAAGAGCGGTCGCGGTCCGGGTCCTGCGGACAGGAATGGCGGAGGGAAGGCGCGGTCAAAGCGCGTGCTGCCACCGCGACTGCCGCCTCGCAGGAGCCGGAATGCGAGGATGGCGCGCGTGATGAGCAGCACGGCGACTCAAGCATCTAAGGCCAAAATCCTTGAGCAAACCGCCCCACGCGGCGCCGGCCGCAGCGGCGAGGCCGCAGCGCAAGACCACTACCACGGTGTCGCTCACCTGCTCGCAGAACCACCCGTGTGCGGCGGCGCCGGGTGCGGCCGGCTCCGCCGCCACCCGCCACTGGGCCGCGCCCACCTCGGCCGCCACCGCAGACAAACGGGCGGCAAACTCGACCACCTGGCAGCAACTGCGTGAATGACCAAACACACACAGAGGTCGGGGGCGCCGCAAACGCCAAGCAGACCGACGCGTCGTTCTCGAGCAGCGGCGGTCCGACCAGCGCGACGAGCTTGCCACACTCTCCCCGGATCGCCTCGCCCAGCTGCTGCCTCGAGCGGAGCACCAGCGCCGCGTGCGCCGCAAGCTGTGGCAACTCCTCGGTTAGGATCGCGGGCGGAAGCAACGGCCGCACCGAGCGGATGCGCAAATTGTCCGTCGTCTGCGCCGTCGCGCGCCGGCGGGCCTGCAGGAGGGCTCCGAGTCAGTTCCAAGCAGCTTCCGGGAAGGTTCGTAGCAGCCGCCTCCGGCGGACCTGCTCCGCGCCCGAGAGGCCAGCCGACACCGCACCTGCGACCTACAGCAGGAGTCCAGGGAGGCCGCGGTGTGAGCACAGCACCGTGCGTGCGCCTGAGCTAGGCGAATGCAGTGAGCGGCTGCTATACGGGCGTGTCCCGCCTCTACCGCCTGCTGCCTCCTCAATCCGCCCCTTGACCTCCTCCCACTGCGCCGCTTCAAAGTCGACGCGCAAACCCTTGAGGGGTGCGCCGCCCCCTCCGCCCGGTGCAGCGCCGCCCGGCGCCGCGCCGAGGAGGGCGTCCAGCGCAAGGCCGGGGCGCCCCCCTCCCTGCGGGCCCGCCTCCGCGAGCTGCACGGCCGTGCGGCAGGCGACCCACGCACTGGCGCAGGCACTGTCGCAGGCACTGGCGCACGCACTGGCGCAGGCACTGGTGCAAGCACGCCTCCCGCCGGAGAGGCCGCCCTCGCCGAGGGCGGTGCTGCACCGCGCGGCAGCGTCGGCGAGCTTGTTTCCGCCGGCCGGGAGGGAGTGCAGGACGGCATGCGCCTGGGACGGAGCGGGGCGGGGGCAGAGCGTGTGTGCGTGTGCGTGTATGTGTGCGTGTGTGTATGTGTGCGTGTGCGTGTGCGTGTGCGTGTGCGTGTGCGTGTGCGTGTGCGTGTGTGTGTGTGTGTGTCTGTGTGTGTGTGTGTGCGTGCGTGCGTGCGTGCTTTGAGGATGGGGGCAGTCTCAAGGGGTGGGTGTGAGAGGGGGTGTGAGAGGGGGTGTGAGAGGGGGAGGGAGGGGCGAGGCAGTGCCTGGGGGTGGCCGGTCGACTCGACGATGCCACACAAGCCAGCAGAGGAGACGCCTGCGCTGATCGACACTGGTGAGCCTCTCGGAAGAGTCACACACGTCGGCCGAGGAGGTGGACGGCGGATCTCGGCGGATCTCGGCGGATCTCGGCGGATCTCGGCGGATCTCGGCTGCCGAGGAAGTGGTGGCTCTGCGCCGCGAGGCCGAGCGCGGTGGCGACACGCTCCGGTTCCGCCGCAGACCCTTCGACGCCCGCCTGCGAGACGCGCGCGGTAGCGGCGGGGGGCGGGAGGGGGGTGGGTGGGGGTGGATCGGGGAGGGGGGGGAGGGGGGAAGGGGGGGGGGCAGAGGCCCACTAGGGGTGCGTTCCCAGGGTCGTGAGAGAAAGGGGGAGGGGTGCTACAGGAGAGGGTGGAGCGGGAGGGTGGAGAGTGGAGGGTGTGCGCGAGGTGGCTGGTGTTTCCGAGGGCGCGGCTGCCGGCATCGAGAGGCCAGACACGAGCTCGCACATCGCTGAGGACGCTGGCACGCACGCGTAGGCGAGCAGGTCAGACACGTACTGCGGCGTGATCGTGTCGGCAAAGGCGGCGGCGGCGGCGACGCCGTGCCGATTGAGGGCGAGCAGGCTCCGCCGCAGCGAGCGCAGCGCCTCGTTGCTCGGCGTCGCGTCGGTGGTGGTCGGCAGCACCAGCAGCTGCAGCTGCGGGTGCGCGTCGCAGGCGGCCTTTGCGTCGGCGGCGAGGCGGAGCGCGGCGTCGGCTGCGCTCTCGCCGTCCGCCTGGTCGGACGGTCCGAGCCGCGGCTGCAGGATGAGCAAGAACCGGTCCGAGTGCCCGGCGAGGATTGAGAGCACCGCCTCACGCGCAGCCTGTGAGCGGCGGCGGGACGGCTTGAGCAACTCCTGAGCGAGTTGTCGCGTGGAAGCGCTTGCGGCAGTGGCGGCGATGCGGTTGGGAAGAGAGGAGGAGACGATGGCTGTGGTGGAGACAGAGCGAGGGCGGCAGCGAAGGAGGAGCTAGCAATCTCGGCAGTCGAGACGGGGCAAGATCTGGAGATGGCGGCGCGCCACGACGTGCTCGTAGACGGCGAGGTCGGCTGGCAGCTCCTCGAAGACGCACGAGGGCGGGATGAGCGCGCCGATCGACTCCACGTTCAGGTCGGAGGACATGACTTGGATGTCGTCGCGGGGTTGTCGATCTGGGGCACACGCAATCTCGAGGTCTCTTCGAGCAGAGCCCCGGCGAGTCGTCGAAAGAGCGCGACCCAAATGGGTCCTCGGAGAGGGTACCCTGGGTGGGCGGGGCCTCTACTCGCCAGGTTGTCGATGATGTCTGGCGCACAAAAAGAAAACAGTCGTGCGTAACAGCAGTGTAACAGACAGAGATAAGAGAACTGTCAGAGTCAGAGTCAGAGAGCTGCCATCCCTCCCTTGGGTTGTTTGTTTTCTTTCTTTCTTTAGGCAGCTAGGGCACACACGTACTTGTCGCATGTCAGAGATTCCATTCTCCAAGGTGGCTCCGAACGTAGCATTCATGCGAGGACACCCCATGTATGGTCGACAGATTCCACCGCGCAAGAACGCCTTGGGCGGCGGGCCCGCGACGCCTCAATCAATCCCCGAAGAGCTCTCGCAGCAGCCGGTCCGTCTGCTGGACGACGCCGCCCGACGGGGTCAGGTCGAGCGCGAGGTGCGCCTCTCGCAGCACCATCAGGAGCGGCCCGTCGGGCAGAGACAGCTCCGCCCGGATGCGCCGCACCCTGTCCATGAGCGACGACGGCCGTGCAGGGGCCGCCGCAGGCGCGGCGGGCGCAGCGGCCATCACAGGCGGCTGTGCTTGCATCGCAGGCGGGTGGGCTTGCAATGCCCGTGGCGAGAGGGCTGACTCGGGCTCGGGCGCCTCCGCGGCCTCCGCCGCCTCCGCCGCCTCCGCCTCCGCGGCCTCCACCGCCTCCGCGGCCTCCACCGACCTTGCCTCTTCCGCCGCCTCCTCCGCCCCTCGGGTGCGGGGTGGCTGGGCCGCCGCCGTCTCCACGACTGCGGCTCGGCAGAGCGGGCAGGTGGTGCTTGAGGAGCCTGAGTGGGCCAAGAGGGTGGTGGGAAGGGGGAAGGCGAGGGAGCGGCGAGTGGCGTGTCGCGGATTGCCGGTACGCAATGTCTGAGCGAATGAGCTGCTTCTCGACATCCAAGCGTCGAGGCAGCCGCCACACCTGCGCAAGGGGAGGAAGGAGACTGAGAGGCTGGCGAAACGCGTGCGGGGTGGGCCGAAGTGTGTTGCGGGGACTGGATGGCGGAGGGAATGCCCCGCACGTCGAGTGGCGGCAGGGCAGCATCTCGACGTCGGCCTTGTTCTCGAAGCAGATGGGGCAGTCCTCGAGCTGCGCGCGGTCGCACTCCGTCAGGGAGAGCGCCTGTGAGGGACGCGCAACCGGGGAGCCGTGGGCGAGCGCAGGCGGCGGGCAAGGGAGGACACTGCTGCGTCGCCTTTCTGCTGTTCATGCCGACAGCGGCGGCGGCCCACTTGGCGGGCGAAGTGGGCGCGGTCCGCGGCTCGGCGACGAAGGCGGCGCCGCGAGCGGCGAACGACCTGCCCGGCCGGGCGAGCGACGAGGGTGGCAAGGCCGAAGGGTGCGGCCGCAGCGGCGGGAGCGCATGGGGGTCCGATGCGCCGCCGCCTCGCTGCGCCCGCAGAGCCGCAGAGCTCGCGCCAAGCCCGTCCGTGGCAAACGCCACGACGGCCCGCGCCCGCCTCCCCCGGGCAGCCGCCTGCACTCGTGTGGCGGCGTCCGCCTCGACCACCTCCTTCGCCGCCTGCCTGGCCGCCTCCGTTGCGCGCGCAGCCGCCTCGCCCGCCGTCGCCGCCGCCGCCGCCGCCCTCTCCGCCTCGGCCGCTGCGGCTGCCCTCACTGCCTCCGCCTCCGCCGCCTTGCGCATCGCCGCGGCGATCTCCGCCTCCATCTCCGCCTCCATCTCCGCCTCCATCTCCGCCTCCATCTCCGCCTCCGCACTCGCCAGGCACTGGCCCCGCCCAGCCACACGCAAGGGCACCCCTCCCCCTCCCCCTCCCGCCGCCGCCGCGTGCTCGAGCCGGTCTCGTCGCTCCTGTCTCGCCGCACGCTCGCCGGCGGCCCGCGCGTCCGCCCCCGCCCCCGCCGATCCCTCGGCCGGCGATCCCTCCTCGCGCGCATTTTGCTCGAGCGTCGAGCGGAGCATCCCGAACATCTTCCGCGAGTGGTCGCGCGAGGCGCCGCTCAGCTCGAGGCTCTGCTGCAGCTGGAGCGTGGCGATCTTGCGGCGCCGCTCCGCTCGCGCCTCTTGCTCGCACCTCTGCTCCGAGGGGCTCGCGCCCACTGCGATTGCCGGTGGCGCTGGTGCCGGTGCGCTCGCCGCCGTAGGCGCCGGCGGCGCATCCTTGTCGCCGCCGTCGTCGGCGGCGCTCCAGCGGCAGCGCACGCTGACTCGTCCGTGGCGCATATCGGACACCTCCAACACGTCGGGGAAGAGGCTCACGTAGGTCGAGAGAAATTTGGTTTTGATTGTCCTCTGGGCCCGCAGACGAACCTCGGCCTCTTCCTTGAGTGCACTCAGATCCACCCCGCCACTCCCGCCGCCCCGGACGATCTCGAGGAGCAGATCGTGCGGTCGACCCTGCGCGGCGCAAAGGCTTTCAAGGGCAGGCAGGGTGTCGTTCCATTTGCTCGTCGAGGTCAGCAAATCCAGCAGAGCGGCGCACATCGGCGGAGCCTCCTCCTTCTTCGCCTCGTCGCCAACCTGGAGGTGTGAATACGTGGCCTTGAGGTGTGGGTATACAGGGCCGTGCGAAGTACGAGGGCTCCGTGTGCCGAGGCCAGTGTGCGAGCCCGACGGAGCACAGTCGAATGCGTGGTTGTCTCGGGTGCTGGCTGGAGTGCAGGGGGTGGTACTCCGCATCTAGGCCCGCGTGCCTCCGCGTCCCACGAGAGGGCCGTGTACCCGAGCGCCAGCGCGGACGCCTGCTCGCGCGCGTCCAGGCGGCTGAAGCGGCGCTCGCATGCCTCTGGCGCGTCGCCGGCGTCCCAGCTCGTCGCGTTGTACCCGAGGGCCATCGCGGACTGCTTCTCCTTCTCGTTCAGCGCCGCCCACGTATCCTTGTCCTTGCCAAGCGTCCTGCCCGCCACGGCGGGGGCGGCGGCGTGCGAAGCCGAGTCCTCCGCCGCCAACCGCGCCTCCTCCTCCGCCGCTGCCGCCCTCCGTGCCTCCTCCTCCGCCGCCCTCCGCGCCTCCTCCTCCGCCGCTGCCGCCCTCCGTGCCTCCTCCTCCGCCGCCAACCGCGCCTCCTCCTCCGCCGCTGCCGCCCTCCGTGCCTCCTCCTCCGCCGCCAACCGCGCCTCCTCCTCCGCCGCTGCCGCCCTCCGTGCCTCCTCCTCCGCCGCCCTCCGCGCCTCCTCCTCCGCCGCCTTCTCGCGCGCCTCCTGCGCCGCCTCCTGCTCAGCCGCCCGCTGAGCCGACAGCTGCATCAGCAGCTGCTCACGCAGTGGCGGATGCGCGGGGCGGTCGACGGCAGTAACCGGGACGGCGGGCGCCAGGACGACTGCCTGGCCGGTCGGCAGCTGCGCAAGCATCTGCTCGCGCAGGGTTGGCTGCGACGGGCGATTCTGGGAGTGATGCGGCCGCCCGCTAGCCTCCCATGCGTTAGCCTCGGGGACCGCCGGATAGACAAACCCGCGCTCGCTCAGCTGCTGCTCCAGCTGTTCCTTGAGCGACGGCCAGACTGTCCTCTCTGCCTCCGCGGCCGGCGTGGGCGCGGGCGTGGGCGCGGGCGCGGGGGCCTCGACTGCCTCCGGTGCCTTCTCCTCCGCTTCTGCAGCGTACCGGTAGACGCCGCGCCCCTCCATCTCACCCGCCTTGTACTCGCCTTCGCACACGGTGCCGTCGGCGAACCGGTAGACGCCGCGCCCCTCCCGCTCTCCCGCCTTCCACTCGCCCTCGTAGACGTCGCCGTTGGCGGACCGGTAGACGCCGCGCCCCTCCCGCTCAGCCGCCTTCCACTCGCCGTCATAGATTTCGCCGTTGGCGAACCGGTAGACGCCGCGCCCTTCGAACAAGCCCGCCTTCCACTCGCCGTCGTAGACGTCGCCGCTGGCGAGCCGCAAGACGCCGCGCCCCTCGTACTCACCCGCCTCGTTGCGCTCGCCCTCGTAGACGTTGCCGTCATCGGGCAGAGGGGAAGGGAGGGGGAGCCCGAGCTCGGCGGTCCGCCGCGCATCCTCCAGCGAGATGCGCTCCTCCTCCCCGTCACGCAGCCACGCCGCCCGCTGCCCGTCCGCCATCCGCCTGACGCACTCGCCGACGTCAGCGCCCTGCTTGTAGAAGCTCGACTCCACGTCCGGCCCTTCCGCCTCGGGAACCGGGTGCAGGGGCAGCCCCCGCTCGCTTAGCTGCTGCAGCAGCTGCTCTTTGAGGGAGGGCCAGGCCGCCTGCTCCTCGGCCGGCGAAGGCGCAGGAGCCACGGCTTCCTCAGCAGCGGCGGGTGCTGTGGGCTCCTGCAGCGGCAGTCCGCGCTCGCTCAGCTGATGCTCCAGCTGTTCCTTGAGCGACGGCCAGAGTGTCTTCTCTGCCTCCGCGGCCGGCGTGGGCGCGGGCGTGGGGGCCTCGACTCCCTCCGCTGCCTTCTCCTCCGCTTCTGCGTCCGTCCCTTCCGCCTCGGGAACCGGGTGCAGGGGCAGCCCCCGCTCGCTTAGCTGCTGCAGCAGCTGCTCTTTGAGGGAGGGCCAGGCCGCCTGCTCCTCGGCCGGCGAAGGCGCAGGAGCCACGGCTTCCTCAGCAGCGGCGGGTGCTGTGGGCTCCTGCAGCGGCAGTCCGCGCTCGCTCAGCTGATGCTCCAGCTGTTCCTTGAGCGACGGCCAGAGTGTCTTCTCTGCCTCCGCGGCCGGCGTGGGCGCGGGCGTGGGGGCCTCGACTCCCTCCGCTGCCTTCTCCTCCGCTTCTGCGTCCGTCCCTTCCGCCTCGGGAACCGGGTGCAGGGGCAGCCCCCGCTCGCTTAGCTGCTGCTGGAGCTGCTCTTTGAGGGAGGGCCAGGCCGGTCCCTGATCCTCGAGCGCCCCCTCGTCCTCTGGGAGTGCCGTACCCGACTGCTCGCGCCTGACTCCCTGCTTGGACAGTTGCGCCCAGAGGTTGTCGGCCGCCGTCGGCAAAGGCGCAAACACACCCTGCTCCTCGAGCTGCTTTAGGAGCTCGTCTTTGACCGATAGGCCGCCTTGAGTTTGCTCCGCCCACTGCATCTTCGGTGGGTTGTGGGCCATTGGCGCCAGCTGCCTGAAATAACCGCAGCGGCCGAGCGGAGCTGGGAAAAGGACCGCGGCGTGGGCGTCAGAAGACTCGTCCTTGCGCGAGGAGAGCTCGATAGACTCGAGGGGCCAGGATATGCAGCGAGGAGGGCGGAGCTGCGCCGAAAGGCAAAAGAAGCCGAGAGAACAAGGGAACGGCAGGCGGCGGCGTCGCAGAACGAGGCAGAGGAGAGCGACGCGACAGAGGAAGAAGCGACAAGGGAGAGCTCGACGAGAAGGGGGCGACCGCGAGGTGGCACGAAGATCGCAGCGAGAATCGGAGAGAGACTGCGAAGAGAGATAGGAAGAGGCGGACGCCCAAGGGTGGGCGACGGCTAGTGCACCACACCCCTCTCCTTAAAATCCCTGTGTGGTGGCGGCGTGCCGTCCTCCCATCCCTCCCTTGGGTTGTCCGTTTTCTTTCTTTCTTTAAAAGGACCGCCGCAAGCGGCGTGGAAGGAGCGGTTGAGCATCCCTCCGGGGGACCCTCTGCGCCGGGGAGGCGTTGTTGGAGGCTAGGACGCAAGCGTCCGTCGCCCTTTTCAAACTCGGGGCCCACTCCGCTACGCTCCGACCCGAATTTGGAGGGCCTGAAAGTTTAAGGTGTTGCTGCGCAAATGGGGTCGGACACAGGGCGCAGCTCATGCTAAGAGCTAGAAGGGGAGCTAGAGAGAACGACTACCCTGTCCCGTTATTGCGTACACCAACACCACAAAAGCTCTCTCTCTCCTGTCCTCAGACACTCCGGGGGCCCACAACTACCGTGTCCCTCGACTAGCTGCCACGTTGCCGACCGAGAGCGGATCTCCTCCTGCTCCGCAAGGAGGGTGGCCAAGGCTAAAGTCATGCCGGAGCCGCCGGGCGCGTTGACGACTTGGAGAAGGTCGCGCTTTGACTTGTACTTTTCTTGTATAGCGATGCTCGAGGGGGTGCTGAGGGGGTGCTTTGTGGGGCGGTGCGCAGCCAGGCCAGCAGTGAGGGGAGGCGTACCCTCACTCTCCTCGGTTGCAGAGCTCGTCGGAGGCTGCGGCACGACGGGAGGGTCGCGACAACAGTCCTCGGGCGAGCCGACGCGCATGTCCAACCAGCGCTGGGACTCGTTGTGACGGCAGACGCCGGCTGCCTCTCCAACCGCTTCTGCAGCTTCCTTCTTTGCCCGGTGCATGGGCTCGATCCGATTCCGCAGCGTGTCGTCCCCAGCGGCGGTGCTGCGCGGGAGGGCCGCGGGCACGCTGGGCTCGATCAGCGGCTTTCCCTCAGTTGCTCCGAAAGCACGGATTTGGCGGACGCCGACATCGTCGGATTTGTGCACGGTATTCGGATTTTGCTATTTGTTCGTGTGGGGGTATATTCCAGATTTGTCAATGGTACCGCGTCTGCGACGCGGGCGCCTTGCGGGCAGAGCCCTTAGCCACCCTTTATATCTTGCGCGGTCAAAAAGTCAAAACCCTGACCAAAAATACCCGCCAGAATCCTGCCCGTGCAGGTGGGGGCGCTGTCCTTCTCCCATCGCTCGTTTGCGTGTTCTGTTTTCTTTCTTTCTTACCCCGCTAGCTCCGAGTAGAGGGGGCGCTCCGCCGCTAACTAAGGGAAACCCAAAGCGCAGACAACCCTCGGAGACCCGTGTTGTGTTATGCTTATGGCTTATGCGTTATGGCCCTCCCTGCGACCGCGCACGCCCCAGGGTCAGGGCTCCTCTCTTGCCCGGAGGCCCGGAGCCCGATCTCCCGAGCATCCGGCCCGCGCGTGGGTGCGCTTCATAGAGTGGGTCCCCGGCCTCGGATGTGAGGCAAATGTGAAATGATCGCACTCCAAGTGGAACTGTGGAAGTGCTCCCACGTGCTAGATTTCTGGCCCGTGCGCCGTGGCTGATTTTAGTTTTTACTCGTTTGAGTTTTGAAGAAAAAAAACGGGTCCGATATAGCAGCGGAGTTGCGGATGTACGAAGAGAATTGGAGCAGCAGGAACCCGAGGGACCATGATCCATGTGGAAGACGGCTAGTGCTAGTCCCCCATCGGGAGGACGACCCCGGCTAGTCGCCGACCACACCCACAAAGAGCCCTGCACAAAGATCGCACGGGCGGGGCCCTGTTCCTTTTTACCCACCTCACAGTAGAGAGGGGTCCGTTTTTATTTATTTTTAGCGGAAGTTGCGGGGGGGGCGGGCGGAGAGGGGAGAGTCGCCGGAGAGACGGGCGTCCTCGAGGTGTGCATAAACCAGATCCCACTATGTTATATCATAGGATATAACATACTGAGATACCAGGCTCTTCCCTGGCATATCAGCTATCAAGAAACCGTCTGATTTCTAGGAGGAGGAGCTCTGTATTCTGCTTTTTCGACATATCCCACAGATCACATCCGGGCCATGGGAATATCGGTCCAGACGCTCTGGGTTCTGGTTTTTCGAGGTGTGAACGATCTCCCGGAGGGGTCATTCCGGCGGAATAACCCCTCATTAACTAATCGGATTCCGAATGGGTCGAACGGGAGTACTAAGACAGCAGCATGTTCTGGGTGGGAGGAACCCTTGGTAACGTTCTGGTTTCTGGTTTCTGCGATATCGAGTGCGATGGAGCGCCCCTCGTTGCTTTCACCTCTCAACGGCGACGAGAAGCGGCTCACTACGGTGCCTCAGCGCACAGTGTCGCTCCTCTGTGAGACTGACGCAAAACAGGCCAGCGTTCAGTTGCTCAAGCGCCAGGCACTCGGCGTTTGGCACGCCGACGCCCTGTCCGACGTTGAGAATGCCATTGGCGACCTGCACTTCTGGCCAACGACCTGGTCGAAGGACCCTCGCAGCCATGACTACGACATGCAGCGCCTCGGACGGTCCAAGCGGCTCGACAATCGCGAGCGCTTCGAACTCTTCCGATTTGTGGTTGGCAATGGCGCATCACCCGCTCTGGCCGTCGAACTCCTTGCCGCGTCGGAAAGCCTGCCAGACACGTTCGCCATAACCCAACCTTGCTCATGGAAAACATGGAAAACCTCGTGAAGAAGGCTGCCGAAGGCAGCTTCTCGAAGTATAAGGCATACATCATGGCGGACCGCAAGTGGGCCCCGGGTCTTTTGCGTGCCAGAGCAGAAGCCTCTGCCTCTTGGAGAGTACTGCCCATACGAAGACGCTCGCAAGGTGCTTGCACGGCAGAAGAAGCGCCAATAGGCCGGCTTGCTGGTGTCCGATGGAGGCCGCCATCGCTTAGAGTCGCATGTGGAGCGCCACCGCCACCGTGGGCGATGATCGCTGCCGCCAGCCCGCAGTGCATCCTCCGTTCCTAAATGCATCGTAGTCATCTCCGCCGAGGGCGGCGTCCCATGTCGTCATCCATGTCACTGCCACGCTACCTCGCATTCAGTGCCGTGCCGTGAGCGCGGCCTGTGCTACGTGTGTGAGCGTGCCCACGGTGTGAGTGGCGGCCTGCTGTTGCGCGCACTCTTGTGTCGTGTGTGTGTGTACAGAGACCACGCGCCAAGCCAGCGCACATGCTAAGCGCACTGCGTTGTCTGTTTATGAGCTCTCTAGAGCATGGTCGTTCCTAAAGGCGCAGCTAGGCGCAGCCGACACATGGGATGGACATGGCAAGCACATGGCATGAACATAGGGCAGGCACGATTCGCGCATCTCGACACACGACTGCACACAGGCGACACTACGTCGCGCAAGGGTGCAGCGGCTATGGTCACGCACATCGCGCCCGATCCCTCCTCCTAACGCGACGCCAACTAAGGCATCAGTGCATGCATCGCTCTCCCTGTCCGCGCGGGTGCGCCGGTCGGGCGCTGGTGGGGCGCCGTCCTACGACCGGCGAGCCCCGGCAGAGGGGTGGAGCTCTCTACTGAGCCGCCTTCCCCGACGGCGGCGGACCGGCCCGGGCGCCACGGCGCCGCAAAGGCGGCAGCGGGGACGGCGTCAAAGATGGCGTGCCTCAGGGGCCGCCAGTCGCGGCGTGCGTCTTGCTCGAATTGGCCCCGCCGAGGTGCCCGGCGACAGCCTCGTCATGCGCGAGAAGGAGATCCGCGTCAGAGAGGCCGAAGAGACCGAACTGGTCCGAGGGGGTGAACTCCTGCGACGCATGAGTCGATGAGGGAATCGCATCGTCCCACATGGTGGTGAGTGACGGCCGGGCGGCTCCACCGAGGGCCGCAGAAACACCGTGGGCCGCAGCGACCGCGGAGAGGCTGGAATCGCCCTCATCGTCACCCTTGACGCCGTCCTCAAGGATGTCACCGTCAGCGAAGCCCGGCGGGGGCTCGCAGTGCAACGGCCGGCGAGGCTCCTCAGGGCCTAACGGATAAGGGGCGTTTCTCTCGCTCTGTGGGCTCGGCCGCCACCCTCCCTTCGCGGCGTGGGTCCTCCAGTGATCCCGCCGCGCTGGATCTTCTGAGGCACGCCGCTCATGAGCTCGAGGAGGGTCTTTGCGTTTGCGCCCTGTGCCTTACTGTATGCGTCGGCCAGCTCGAAAAGCTTATTGCCCTTCTCGTCCATGATCACGAACACGGAGTGTTCCGAGTTGGCGCACAACTGGAGAAGAGACTCGGGAGTCGCGTTGGAGGTCGCCGTGGACACGCCGACCAGCGCCTCGAACTTGCCCCATTGCTGGCGCAGGGCGTTCAGCATCGGGGTCTTGCCGAGGCCAGAGTCGGAGGCGAGCAGGTTGCTTCCGTTGAGGGACTCCGACCAGCCGCTCCCGGAGACGGGATCGTGCCAAACGCGGACCTTGACGCGCTTACATGCCGCGCGGTTGAATGCCGGTAGGAGCGCAAACAAGTAGTCTACGTTGGCCTGCAGCAGGGGCGGAGCCGTCGACTCATGAACGCCGCGAGGCAGTTTTGCTACGGCAGATGGTCGCCGCGGTGAGGCTGCCAAGGGGTGGTCGCGTTGTAGACGTTCAAGCGTGGTGCGGGCGAGTGGGCAGCGGTTGTATGTGAGAGAGTATGCGCAGAAGCGGGCGCTCTCACCCCGGCCATGGTCGCCACATTGCGACCCCACTCAACAATTTGCTTCGAGTAGCGGGCTTCGAGGTTCGGCTCGACATCGTACGCACGAGCGAGCAGCTCGTTATTGTCGAGAGGCTCTCGGCCACCGTCGTCGGCGACGGCACGCTTTCGCTTTCCGGCCATGCTGGACGCGTCTCTGCCTCTGGACTGCCCAGTTTCGTGTAGGATGTGACGGACCGCCGCGTTTACTTGTGTTGACGGATTTGTTGGATGTGTTACATACTTTTAGCTTACTGGATGTGTGGTCTAGGCCATGCAACAGCGGCTCTGAGACTTTTTGATGCGTGCAACGCTATTGCGAACGTTTTCGCCTCGCCCACACGTGACGGATGGACGGACGGTCGACGCGGAGGCAACAAACCGTACGGTTCCACATCTCGTACGCGGTACGCCGCACCGCATTGCCCACTCGTGACAGAAGGTCTCGAAGCCGGTGTGAGAATGCACCATCTGTGCCGACAACCTGTCGAGCAGCGAATTCTCGAACACGGTGCTCTGGGAAAGCTGGACCCAGCGGCGTGAGGATGCAGTCGCCCCTGGGTAGGGCACCTGCTTGCCAGCTGGGATGCGCGTGCCGCCCTCAGCGTACGACATGCTGTGCCACGCGGAGCACCGAGGGCAGGAGAGGCCATTGAGCTCGCCCTTCAGTCGCCCGTGCTCCGCATAGACCGTTGGAGATGAGCACCTGCTACCCCACTTGACCACCAGGGGTACCGCCTCCCCAGCGAGGCCACACGCCACGCAGTGCTCTACGTCCGGCACGAGCCGAACGGTCTTGCGGCTCGGGTCGTCGCGAAGCTGAGAGGCAAGCCGATCGACAATGGGCAGCTTCTTTAGCAGATACCGCACCGCAGGAGCGGAAAGGCCTGCCGGCATCTCCCCAGCAATACGCTCCGCGCGTAAGGGCGTCCCAGGTGGGTAGAGGTTGAGCGCAACCACGAAGCTGATGAAATCCTCCGCCGAGTTGATTGGGTGGAGCTCCTGCGCGAAGGCACTTGCGCCATCCTTGATGTGTTCGAGCTCGTGGAGACCGAGATCGTCGAGCCAGCTCGCCATCGGGGACCGAAAAAGCAGATCCCAGATAACAGATCGCGTGACGCGCAATGTTCTTTCTCTCTGTGATTTCGTGCTCGATACCCCCGGGTACGGACGTACACCTGTTCATTGGCCGGAATGAGCTCATTAGGACGAAGCGGGAGATGTATTCACACCGCAGAAACCAGACCCACGGGCAGATCCCGCGGGAAATCGAGGCGGGTGTCCCAGAAAACAGATCCCAGAAAAAACAGAGCGCACCGCAGAAACCGACCGACCCCTGGGTTTTCGGCTATGCGAAACCGCAATGGGAAACCGGAGCAGAAACCCTATGGGAAACCGAGGTCTGGTATCTGCTTTGTGCACGAATGGCGTCCTCGCACACGTACCACCTCGCAGACGCACCTGGCACGTGGGGGCCGCCGCTATACGAACAGCAATACTTCACAATAACGCGCGCGCAAACTCCCGATGCCGCACGCGACGTACACCTACACACATGCTACCTAGAACTGGCAAGTCCCTCCGCTCAGCGCACAACACCGGCACACGAAATCCAAAACACACAATCGCACAAGGACACAAACAGGTCTCGCCGGCTCTAGTTCTACAGCTCACAGAGCTCGACGTCAGAGCTCCTCCTTGGTGGCGGCCGGCCGCATCCGCGCCTGCGTGCGGTAGAGCTCCCGCTTGGCGCTGCCATCGTTGTCGTACGGAAAGGAGTGGTGGAGCGTCTATTGCGTCACATTCGAAACGGTCAGAGGGTTGGCTCAGCCAAGACATGGCTGCGGGCCCTAATCGCCTGTGTATTGTCCCACACGAGCACATCGCCCACATCCCAGGCGTGAAAGTAGGTGAAGGCGGGCGAGGTTGCGTGCATGAGCAGCATGGTCAGCAGCGCCTTGCCCGCCTCCGCCGTCTCGAGGCCGACCACCTCCATGTGCGGCGAGCCGACGTACAGGAGGGGTCCACCGTCCATCCTACAGGCGGGTAGCCGTGGCAGCTCACGGCCGCCGCGTCGCGCGGCGAGCCAACACTTTCGGCGCGCCAGTGCGCGTCGAGGACGGGGTGCTCGGCGTCGGGGAAGGCCGCAAGGTCCTCCTCGTCGCCCTTTGCAAAGTCGGCGATCTGTCTCACCGAGGTGCGGATCGACGCGTTGGCGGCGCGCGCGAGGAGCGGCGCAGACAGCGTGTGCCGCGCGGCGCGCAGGTCGGCGAAGCCGGTCTCGCCGCCTGAGGGCGGCGTCTCCTGCGCGTGGAGAATCGAGAGGATGTTGTGACGCGGGGGCTGCCAAAATTGGCCATCCTGATGCCAGTAGGCGCCGAAGCGTGCGGTCGGGCCCTTCCACGTCCCGTTGGCCCAGAAGTTGGTGATGCGCTGGATCGCAGGGTGGAACGGCTCCGGGTCTTTCCCCTCGAAGGACGAGGGCAGCACGACTGTCTCGCCGAGAGCCGCGGTGAACTCCACCTGCTGTGCTCGCGTGAGATTCTGTCCCTTAACGACGACCACTCCGTGCGCGCGCACCGCGTCGAGAAGAGTCGAAGCGCCCGCGGCGTCGAGCTCGCGCAGGTTGCCGACTTCCACAGTGGCTCCGAGCCGCTCAGCGCCCCCGCAAAGAGCGCACGATGTCCAGCCGCGGCGATGGAACGTGTGATCCACTTTGGGCGGCGTCGCACCGAACCAAGCCTTCGCCTCGACGACGGCAAGGGCGAGGCAGGAGAGCAAGGCCGCCATGGCGGCTCCCACCGATGAAAGAATTGGCGTTCGCTGAAAAGAATTCAGAAACCCCCGGGACGATGAAAAGAATATGAAAAGAGTAAGGCGGCTTCTGAAGTGCTGTCGCCGGGTGTGCGAGGCGGGGCACCTTAGAAAACCCAACCCTTTTCCTGGCTCACAAGCTAAAGATGTTCACGGGCCCCCACACGGAGCCCCGGGTATTCTTTAGCTGTACTCGTCTAGGCAGGGGTTGTAGAAAACCCCCGAGGGGGTCGTCAGTCGCTGGCATTTTTGTTTCATTCAGCTCCTTTGGACCTGCCTACAGTGGGTTGCGGGTATTAAGAAAACAGGATTCCGCGGCACGCCGCTGTTTCTAAGCCTTTCCACAGCCCTCATCCACCCCACGCCGTGGTTTCTTAGCTCCGGCCGGCACTCAAGTCAGAGAGAGCCGACCCGAAGCGCGAAGGATTTTTAGGTAAGAGGTAAGCTGCGGTCCGCGAGGGCGATGCCAGACAGAGTCTGCCGCCGAGTCGTCTCTCTGGATGACGGGAAGACGCACACCTCTGGGGGGGCGCGGGGGCCCCCGGAGGCACCGTGCGCCGCGCCGCAGTGCGGAAACCGCCGACAGATCAGCTCCAGACAGCAGGAGACATGTAGCATGCAGCACACAGTCTGTATAGAGAGCATCTGCACCATACAGACCCTCTCTGCACACACATGCACTCTTGGGTGGGATTCTGTATTCCGCACCTGCATTGTGCATTCCGTACGACTCTTTTTTTGGCCTCCCCTACCTATATTGGGCGAGTTTTTGCATTCTGCACCTGCATCCTGCATCGTACTCTATTCGCTCTCTCCTCACTCCTGGCTGTGGGTGAGTTTTTGCATTCTGCATTCTGCATCCTGCATCCTGCACGTCTCTCACACGTCACAGCTGTACCTTTGGGGCCGCTTCTGCATTCTGCATCCTGCATCTGCATCCTGCATCGGGGGCAGTTCACAGCTTTGGGCCCGCTTCTGCATTCTGCATTCTGCATCTGCATCTCCTGCATCGGGTGCAGTTCACAGCTTTGGGGCTGATTCTGCATTCTGCATTCTGCATCTGCATCCTGCATCGGGTGCAGTTCACAGCTTTGGGGCTGATTCTGCATTTTCTGCATTCTGCATCTGCATCCTGCATCGGGTGCAGTTCACAGACCTTGTTATTGACAAGAAAATACGTCCTATGGCGCTTTGCGCTGGTCTGTGAGAGGTTGGGGTGCGAGCCCTGGAGGCCCTGGGGATGGGGGGAGACTACCCGCGGGCCTAGAAGGCCCGCGCGCAGGGGGGTGGGACATTGAGATTGAAGGCGGAGGTGGAGGCGGCGGAGGCTCGGCGAGCACGGCTGGGAGCGGCAGAGGGTTCAGGATCCGGGCAAGCGCGGATCTTAGAAGAGGGGTGGCTTTGGTTGGTCACGATCGGGACGGATGACACGTCTGATGCAGACATGCGGTCACCCTCGATTCCTGTTTGTTGAATGAAGAAGCCCTCTTCGATGCAGTCGCAGGAGTGATAACCCATCGAGGTGGGAGCCGCCTGCGGCATACTGAATCCTCCACCAGTGGCGCAAGCCCGCTCGTCCCGACGCTCGAGCGACTCGTCCACCTTCCCAGCCACGCCCTGCACAGCAGCATGGCCATCCTCCTCCTCCTCCTCCTCACTGTAGTTGTCCCACCCGTCGTCGGAGTCGTCGCCACGGCGCTCGAAGCGGCAGCAGACCTCCTCTTCCTCTGCTTCCTCTGCTAGCAGCTGCGCCAGTCGCAGGAGTGATAACCCATCGAGGTGGGAGCCGCCTGCGGCATACTGAATCCTCCACCAGTGGCGCAAGCCCGCTCGTCCCGACGCTCGAGCGACTCGTCCACCTTCCCAGCCACGCCCTGCACAGCAGCATGGCCATCCTCCTCCTCCTCCTCCTCACTGTAGTTGTCCCACCCGTCGTCGGAGTCGTCGCCACGGCGCTCGAAGCGGCAGCAGAGCTCCTCTTCCTCTGCTTCCTCTGCTAGCAGCTGCGCCAGCACTGCCTCCCACTCAGGGTCGGCAGCAGAGCCAGCATCGCTTTGAGCAGAGCAGCGCATTGCCACGTCCTCCCCTCGTCGCAGAGCTCCACCGCGGCGAGAGACGTGGTGACAGTGGCGACCGACGTGCCAGTGGCGCGGCTGGCATCGCCAGCAGCGAGGCCGCCAGCATCGCCGCCGCGCACCGCGGCGTGGGGCGCAGCAGCGTGCCGTTCGGCTACGTGTTACGACATCCGACCTGCTTCACAGCTTTGGGGCTGATTCTGCATTCTGCATTCTGCATCTGCATCCTGCATCGGGTGCAGTTCACAGCTTTGGGGCCGATTCTGCATTCTGCATTCTGCATCTGCATCCTGTGAGGGGAGGGAACGGGAACATATGTGCGAGAAGAGAGATTAAGAGCCGCTCGTAGCTCTCGTGTTGTGTTGGTGTGTTTTGTTTCATAACAGTACAAACACATATAAGTCCGTTCCGGACATCAGGATTTAATCTGCGCTCCTTTTTTTCGCATGAACAAGTCTGCGGCTATGATAGTTCGCCAAAGCTCACACGCTGTTCCCTAGGCCCTGCCGGGGGCTGCTGTGTGCGAAACCCGGGCCGCGTCGCGCCGTTGGCGCTCCTCAGGAGGTGATCATGCGTAATCTGCGCTCGAGAGTAACTATCGTGCCATATCTCTGCCTTTTGAGAGAGATTTTTAGCAATACCAAACAACTCTAACACTCACACGTCATTTGGGGCCTGGAGCGAGACTTTGTTTTTTGCCTTTTGTGCCCGGGCACCAACATGACATCATGCAGGATGCAGATGCAGAATGCAGAATGCAGAATCAGCCCCAAAGCTGTGAACTGCACCCGATCAGGATGCAGATGCAGAATGCAGAATGCAGAAGCGGGCCCAAAGCCGGATGCCTTAGCACCCGATGCAGAATGCAGGATGCGGATGCAGGATGCGGAATCGGGCTCAAAGCTGTGAGCTGCACCCGACGGACAAACTCTTTGGGTCTGATTTTGCATCCTGCATTCTGCATCCTGCATCCTGCACCATGCAGAAGAATCCATTTTGGGGCCGATTCTGCTTCCTGCATCCTGCATTCTGCATATGCTGCACATACAGAGTAAACATTTTGGGTTCTGCATTCTGCATTCTGCATCTGCATTCTGCATTTTGAGAGAAATACGGAATGTAGAATCAGCCCGTCTATGCAGAGGCAAACCCATGCAGTCTGTGTGCTGCATGCTACAAGAGTGGACAGCAGACTGCAGACAGGCCGAGGACGTCTGCACGCGGCCGGCCGGGCGAGAGGCTTGACACGATCCGACCCTGCGAGACCCTGACGCTGCTGCTCTAGCTATCAGACATGCACTGCTGACTGCTGCCACAACGTGCGACCTGTGCTGGCCCACTTGGCGGCCTTCCCGGTCAGTGGTGAGGCGCAGTTCAGAGCTGTCGATGGCGCGATGCCGCACTGGTCCCACATTGGTGACACGAGACCACCAAGTTTGCCGGTCCAAGAGAGAGGCACTGGTGCTGTCCTGAAGGTGTGTGGTCCCTCTTGACTGCCCATGCGCGAGAGGCTGTGTAGGCATAGCCTCGAGAGTGCCAGCAGCCAATCCGAGGCGACGCGCATTGCGCCAGAAGCGTGCACGCGCTGGAAGGACACCTTCCTACTGGCCGTACGATCAGGTCGTCACTGAATGCTTGATACTAAGGCCGCGAGCTATGCAGGTGATCAATTGTGCAGCATGGCACGGTCAGCAGCGCCGACAGGCTGTCGCAAGGCGTGCTAGCATGGCCCCGCAAGTATGCCGAAATTCCCATGGAAACAAGTGAAAAATCGCGCAAAAATAAAAAATAGGCGCCTGCGGCGGGCCATCGGACCCCATCTCCCCCCCGCATGGATACCCTCTAGGGCCCCCGCGCCCCCCCAGAGACGCACACACGCCTCCATCTACTCCACTCAGGACACCGCAGACTTGGAAAGTGACAAGTGCGCGCGCCGCAGGCGAAGAGATTTTGAGCCGGGGCTCCCATTCACATTCGTGTCCTTTTCCTTTTCTCGGGGCCGCGCCTGCGGCGCGCCGTGGTTTCTTAGATTTTTGCGGAAATCGCTCGGCGTGGTTCCTTAATGGGAAGTTTTCTTAATGCCCGCAACCCACTGTACCCCGAACCTGTGTCTGCACGCAAAACTCTCTCTCTCTCTCTCTCTCTCTCTCTCTCTCTCTCTCTCTCTCTCTCTCTCTCTCTCTCTCTCTCTCTCTCTCTCTCTCTCTCTCTCTCTCTCTCTCTCTCTCTCTCTCTCTCTCTCTCTCTCCCCCCCCCCTCTCTCTCTCTCTCTCTCTCTCTCTCTCTGCCCGCCCGGCAAAGACCGACCGACGCCTGCCGAGCCCTTCGTCTATCGGTTCTTCTTTCGGCGTACGATTCGGAATCGTCCTGGATAATCCAATCCCATCCGAACGTTGCCGAACGTCCGTCCCTAGAGTTGCGCGGACGGGAACCTACCCGTCGACGCCGCTGCGTTCACCGCCGGACGGGCGCCCCTGAATGCCCCCGCGTGCGTGTGCCGCATGCGGCAAACCGAGCAGGACAAAGTGCCCGCGGTGTAAGTGCGTCTTCTACTGCAGCAGACAGTGCCAGAGCGCAGCCTGGCCGCAGCACCAGGCACTGTGTGCCAGTGCACCGCCTCCCGACGCCAGGCAATGGTGGAATCCTGACGCACTCGGCCCGCGAGAGCCAGAGGTCGCCCTTCCTGATGGAAGGGCGCGGCCAGCGCACCAGATGTTTCGGAAAGAGGGCGGATCATCACTCGTGCTGGTCGTGGAGCTGCCTCTGTGTGACAAGCTGGCCGACTTCGAGACGGAACAGACTCTAAGTACAGACAGCGGCGAGTACGTGCTAGAGATCCTGGGGAGGTACTCCCTTCGACTGCGATGGCCAGAGCCCATCGACGAGGCGCGGGCTGCAGCGAAATTTATCAGCGGCAAGCGTTTGTTGCAAATTTGGGCGCCCCTGCTGCATTCCATGTCAGAGATGCAGGCGCTGCAAGACATGATCAATGCCTGCACCGGGGAGGATGTGGAGGCGGCTCTGGGTGCGGCGGAGCCGCACACGTTGTTCCCCGACGTCACCAAGGAGAGTGAGAGTCAGAGGTCGCAGCTACACGAGATCGCTGCAGCGCGCGCTGCGGTCGCGGCAGCCGAGGAGGAGGAGGCTGTCGCCCTCACCGCCGCTCGAGCCGCGACGCTGCGAGCCGCCGCAGCCAGGTCCCGGCTTGCGGCGGTGGAGGAGGGCTATCCATGCCGCGGAAAAGGAGACGGGGAGGGATCATGCGAGCGCGCCGGGCGTTCCGGGGCGGGTGCTCGCTGCGCCGCTGCGCCGTCAGTGCGCGAGGAGGGCGGGGGCGAGAGCGGTAGCTGTGTCGTCTGCGGCGTGCCACGCCCGAGGAGCAGGGCACCTGCCAACGCCAACGGCAGCGCACTAAAGCTGGGCATGCGGGTAAGGGTCTGGTGGGGTGGCGACAACAAATACTATGGCGGCGAGATCGAGAGCTTCCGCGAGAACAACGAGACTCTCGAGGTCCTCATCGCCTACGATGACACGGAGAAGGAGTGGGAGAATGCGGCAGAGGTCGAGCCAGTAGAGGGGGAATCGCAGGGCAAGCGCAGGGCACCTTGCAAGGGACTGAAGCGGCTAGGGGACGACGACCTCGACGGCGAGCTTTTGGCAAATGGGCGCCGAGCTGCGCTCAGGCATGAGGACTCAGCCCCTTCCATCTCCTCCTCGGCCTCCTCGTCCTCGAGTGGGTCTGTGCCTGCAACCTCGCCGCTGAGAGGAGAACCTGTCTGCATGCGCGTTGGTTGTCCCGCCCAGTGCGATGCCCAGCTTGCAACGCCGAACGCGCAACTCTGCTCGCGAGGTCCGAGGAGAGATGTTGCTGATTAATCGTAAGGTGGGATAGACGGCGCTCCAAAAAATGGCACCGCCCGTTCGTGAACTAAATGTGCACCCCCACGCACCCCCAGAAAAGCGCCAGAAATCATCCTGTGCAGGTCAGAGAGAGCCGATCACACGGGGCTGTGAAACGGATCGAAATATTAGCTATATATTAGTTGGGCCACAGGTACCAATTTTGTCGAATTTATTTCAAAATCTGCAGGCGCGGAGCGCCTGCGAAAATTTCGAAGAAAATTGCAGTCGGGCCTGATTTTCATCAAGATCTTTCAAATTTGCGGTGTGGAGTTGGGGGGTGGGTTGGTTAGGGTTATTAGGCTTAGAGGGTTTAGGGTTAGGGTTAGGGTCAGGTTAGTCGTCTTGTTGTGTCTGTATATGCCAGCGTTGCAGAGTTCTGCGCTGAGATCTGGCCCCAGCACCAACGAGTAAGACTCAGCCCCGCACGCCGCTGCCTGAGCTGACCCCACCAAATGCCGCCTCAGGGCGCCAGCCACCTCTTACACGCGGCCGGCGCCCTCTCGCGGCAAAAGGGTCGAGCGAGCGGGCAGAGTCTCGCGATGTCCCTGCGCACCTGGGTGTTCGCCGCCTAGGCTATATGCTCTATCCTGTGCCAAGACGGACACGTTTTGACAATCAAAATCTACCTCAAAATTTGCGGCCGCCCCTCTCGCGGAAATTTGCTGATCAAAATTTGCGGTGCGGCGGCGGTGGCCCGGATCGAAACCTGTACTTTGGCCAATAATATTAGAGAGGCACAACGTGCGGGTCCACCCTAGCTCAGGAACGCCGAGTATGACCCTCTTGCGCCTCTTGCGTAAACCCCACGCGCGGCGGTGGCGCTTCTACGCCTGACAGGCTAACTCCTGACTCCTTGCGTGGGACGGTTGTGCCACGTCGCACATCTACCTATTGCAGCTCGGCCAGCGCCGGGTCGGGGAGCAAAGTAGAAAAGAGCGCGGCCCAATGTCCGCCCCTCTCCAGCAACCGGCGCGCTATGTTCGTCCCTCCCCGTGGACGCCTCGGGAGCGCCGCAGGTAATCTGCGAGCGCGTCGTCCACGAGGTGCAGCTTCTGCGTGTAGGCGAACTGGCCGTTCGGCGCAAACAGCTTCCAATCGGAGCGGCGGCCTACAGCAGCAACGCCGAGTCAGGCGCCGCAACGCTCGCGTGCTGCCCACCTGCCATGCGGCTCGCCTCCGCCGCCGTCGCTACGGAAGCTCAGCCCGGCGGCGGTGTGGAGCTCGTCCATGTTTTTGCGCATGAGGTCGGCGCGGTACGGCAAATGGTGCTCGCACTGGTCTTCGCCACTCGAGGGCGGCAAGCTCGTGAGCCACCTGCCAACCGCGGACGGCCCAAACGGCGGCACGAGCTCGTAGCCGCCCAAGAAGTCGAGCAGGTTCGCAGTCGGGGGCGCGTAGAGGGGCGCCGCCGGCCGAGAGTTGAGCGAGAAGCACGAGCGCGGGTGGAGCGCCGTCAGGTTGCGCCCCGCCTGGCTCCAGGAGGCCCATCAGCGCGCGGGGGGGGGGGGGGGGGGTTGCGCTGCTTAGCGGTCGGCGCCGCGGCACGCGGCAAAGCTAGGCAGAGCTCTCTCTCTCTCTCTCTCTCTCTCTCTCTCTCTCTCTCTCTCTCTCTCTCTCTCTCTCTCTCTCTCTCTCTCTCCCTCCCCCCCCTCTCCCTCTCTTTGCGCACCATCATGTGCAAGCGCGCCAAGCCGGTGGTCCAGAGCAGAAAGGCGTGCGGTCGGTCGATGGCCTTCTTGACCTGCCCGTGCGGAGAGGTATTCTGATTATGAGTATGAGGAGTATCATTACGATTATTCTTGACCTGCCCGTAGGTGAGGTGCCGGTCGGAGGTCGGCGTGTAAAGGGTGGTCCGCCCGCCCGCCTACTCGCAGCCAAAGGTGTGAAGTGGCGCCGCCCACCGGCCTTACGTCCACGGCGGTCCCGCCGCTCGCTCGCCTCGACCGCCTCGAGCACCGCCCAGCCGCCCTTGGAGCGCAGCTTCATGTGCCACGCGTGCAGGTGGCCCTCCTCGTGCCACGACACGCCCGGCGCGTACAGCACAAAGTGGCGCAACGGCCAGACAAGGTGCCAGCCAAAGTAGCCGCAAAAGCAGAGCAGCAGCCGCAGCTGCCTCCCTCTCAACCGACGCGCAACACCGCGCCCCTCCTCCGCCCCCCCACCTGCGGCGAGGGCGGCCCGCCGGGCGCCGCCCTCGCCGCGCCGCGCCTCCGCCTCCTCTACGTCTCCTCCACCACCTCCTCCTCCACCTCCACCACCTCCGCCGCCGCCGCCGCCGCCGCCGCCGCCCCTAAGGCCGCCGCCCGTCTTTGGCCCGGGCCCAATCAGCGGCGTGGCCGCGCCGGCGTCGCTGTCTCCGCCGCCGGCAGCAAGCTGCGGCCACGCGGGCACAAAGAGCCACCAGTGCCAGCGGGTGGGCGGCTGGCGCGGGTCGGCGGAGAGCGCGTCTGGCGGGAGGAAGAGGAGGAGGGTGGCGAGCATCGCATACGGAAAGACTCCGATGTTGAACATGAGCTGCGAGGGGCGGAGCGGCGGTGGCGATGGGCGGGGCGGGGTCGGTAAGGGGCGTGACGGGGGTGGCGGGGCGGCGGGGAGCGGCGGGGGGGGGGGGGGGGTGTTGCGGGCGTGACGCGGCGGGGCGAGCCTTGTTCATGCAGTTGAAGGAGATCGCCGCCGGGAAGGAGAGCGGGCGAAGGTGGCGAGAGAAGAGGAGCGGCACGATGCCGGCGTCAAAGGCGAAGCCTCCCCACGCGATGAACCACGGCCACCACCACGTGTCGCCAACCCCGAAGGGGAGGTAGCGCGCGTGCACCGACCCCTTGCGGAACCACGCCTAGAGCGGTTAGGTTTCGGGTCAGGGTCAGGGTCAGGGTCAGGGTCAGGGTCAGCCCTGCGGAGAGACGCCTTGAGCGGCTGCGCGCGCAGGAGCCAGTCCTCGTTCACCTGAGAGAGGGAGGAGGAGGTGTCGTGCGGTGCCCGCGTCTCGTGGCAAGACGGCGGTACACCGTGCGGGCGAGGGAATGCAATTTGAGCACAGCCGGATGCGCGGCCTCTTGGGTGGGGGGCTAGAATACGGGGACGTTGGGTGCAGAGCGTGAGTATGCCGCATCCGGGCTCGTGGACCTTTGCGACCGCGCCGTAGCTGTACGGAATCGAGAAGAGGATCTGGAAGCCGAGCAGGTGCCAGTACGGCAGCGTCGCGGGCTCGTCGACGGCCGCGCGCGACGAGGGACGGCGGCGCCAGTTCGAGACCAGCTGGTCGACAGACGCCCAACGCCCCCAGTCGGAGAGCGAGCCAAAGAAGGTGGCGTGGCAGATGAGGATGTAGTGGTTGTTGTGGTTTGACTCGCACTGGAGGAAGAGGTAGCAGAAGGTGGCGCACAGCACCACCGTCGACGCGCGCGTGCACACGCCCAGCGACACGAGGTACGCAGACACCATGTTGAGTTTGAGCATCGCCTCGCCGGCGGCCGGCCCGATGGGTGGCAGCCAGTAGAGGCCGGGGTAGGGCAGCAGCAGCTTGGCCTGCACAAACTCCTCGTACATGTCTGCAAAGTGCCCTGCCTGCATCACCATCACCACGCCAAAGAGCAGCCGAAACATGCCCAGCGTCGACGCGTGTACAGGCTGGACGAGCCACGCGTGCGCCTCGAGGCAGCGCGTGCACCAGCGCTGGCGCCGGGTCTCCTTCGTCTTCTCAGGAGGGGTCAGCGGCACGGAAGAGTCATCGGCAGGGCACGCGCCGCGGCGGAGCATATGAAAGCCGAGATGACTCGCGATGACACTGTTTATGACTCCCGATCTTGGGGTCGATGAGCGAGCGGCCGAGTATGACCTACTACAGTCGTCGCGTACATGAGAGGAAGGCGCGACCTCTTGAAGGCTGTCCGAGCGCAAAAGGCGAGGCCGAGTGGCGCACGCTCTAATCGTCGGAGAGCACCGGCACACGTGCTCCAACAAACCGGCAAAATACCTGAGCATGACGAAGGGTTAAGGTGCGTGACGGCTAGCCCATCACACCCCTCTCCTTAAAATCCCTGTGTGGTGGCGGCGTGCCGTCCTCCCATCCCTCCCTTGGGCTGTCTGTTTTCTTTCTTTTTTAGACTTGAGCACTGGACACAGATATTTGCTCAGATTTGACAACAAAACAAACTCAGATTTGTTGTGTCTGGACACATGCACAAAACAAACTCCAGGCCCCAAATGACGTGTGAGTGTTAGAGTTGTTTGGTATTGCTAAAAATCTCTCTCACATACATGCACATGCACATGCACATGCACATGAGACATGTTGTGCATGCACAAACAACATGCACATGAGACATGTTGTAGGGTTGGACTGTCCGAGGTTTTCCGGCAAACCAAAAGGAAAACAGATGGTCCCCAGCACTTTGCGTTTCCGGAAATTTCCAGGGAAAACAGAGGGTGTTTGGGAGAGAGATTTTTATTTCTTGTGTTTGGTGCTCCATTCTGGAAACTCGCGAGTTTCCCTGAGTCTGAGAGCTGGTCTGGGGCAAAATCTGAGGCAAAATTGAGGAAATCGACAAAATACCTAGGCGGTCGCAGGGTAATTTCCAGGTATGTATGTAACTGTAGAGAGAACTCGGTTTGGGGCGAGTGGGAGAACTTTTCGGCGGTCGTGGAGGTCGTGGAGGTCGTTGAGTGGCGAGTCACGCTCGTGCGGACAGCATCGATGCCGTCGCCGGACGCGGCGGCGAGGCACACGGGCGCCGGCGTGGCGCGTCGGCAGGCCCACCACGAGCGGATGCGCGACGAGCGCGCTCGGGAAGCGGCCGCGGGCGAGGCGGAGCTTCCGCCGGAGGACGACGCGGTCGAGATGGCGAGCGCCGTCCACGTGCTGGACAGCGTGCGGGAGGTGGGCCCGAACTACACCCTGCTGCGCAGCAAGGAGACGAAGGCGAAGCGGCGGAAGCGAAAGCGCGAGGATGCCTACACGGGTTCTCCGCAAAATTCCCGGCATTTTGCCGATTTGGCCTAAAATTTGGCTGATTTTGGGCCCAAACCACAGCCTCAGACTCGGCTCAGCGCCCAAACAAAATTTGACGATTTCCACGCAGTTTTCCCGGGAAAATAGAGAGGAAAAGAGAGGGTGTTGCAGAGAAAAAAGGAAAGGAAAACAGACGGGCCGTGCGAGAGGCAAACCTCGGACAGCCCAATTGTAGGGTCGATTCCGCATGGCATGGTACGGGACCCCTCACACTGGGCAGACGGGATAGGGCCCGCTTTCTCCGCATTCTATTGAGGTTATTGTTGTGGTGTTCTGGCTCTCTGGGCCTAGGCCCTAGCCGACATGTCCATGTGCACGTGCATGCACATGCACATGCACATGTCGTGATGTTTACTCGCTTAGTGTAGGCAAGCGAATACTCGAGTACGCTGGGGGATCGGCTTCTTATTACACAGCCCTTCCCTGCAGCGATCCCCCCTCCAACCCACCCGCGCTAGGTCTCGGGTTTGATTGACGCATGGGGTCACTCCCGCGAAACTCGTGAACTAGCCGGGGCAGTCGGAGAAGGGGCAACTCCGTGCACTGACGGTCGGCCGCCAGAAACCACGCCTGCGTGGATCGCGTCACACCAGTCCTCGCTACCCAACGCGGCCAAAGGATATCCACCTACGAGTACTCGAGTATGAAAGAAGAAGCCGAAAAAAGACAGCTGCGGGCTGCCGGCTCGCACGGCAGCCTCTTCCTCTCGACCAGCCTCAACTTCCATACAGTCAGCATTTTGTCGCTGCGTGCTCGTGGCCAGCTGTGGCGGCGGTCGAAGTTCGCCCAGGTTCGGAGCCGAGCGCCAGACGATAGTAGTGTCTCTGTTCGCCCTGTGCATGTCAGGCCAGGCTGCAGCAGGGCACTACCAACGTGCTGCCCTGTTGCAGCCTGACTTTGCCCACTGTGCACAGTCGCCAGAGCACCACCACCGCCCGGCATCGTGTCACGGCGAGCTCCTTCTGACCCGTTCGCGAGGCTCTCGCGCTGGCACACTTTGGCCATCTGCTGCTCGCGTTCGGCGAGCTCTTCTCCGCACTCCTGCCACGGTGCCGTCACCACACACCTTCTGGCTGGCCTGAGCCGCGCGGGGTCGCCGGCGGGGGCAACGCGTCGACCTCTCTCTCTGGTGCACCACGGGCCGCAACGGCCTGCGAGCAGCGTGCGCGAGGAGGCAGTGTGCCGGCACAGTCGAGCCGGAGCATCGGGTTCTTGATGCTTCTGGGGTCAAGTTTGACCTTGTGCGGCCTAATATGCAATAATAATGCTATGCTCTCACCCAGTCTTTTGAGATATTATCCCTCAAAGTCGAATTTTCGTTTACTGGTGACCATAAGAGATCGGTAGAGTAGCGTCTGTCTTGTTTGCGAGATCTTCAAACGAATACTTTAAAGTCTCGACAATCACTAAGCTGCTTATGTGGCACCGCAGAGGCTCCCTTGGGGATGCCTGAGGCCACCCCAACCACTCACTAAGCCGTACGTAGACCTAGACGAATTGGGCGCTACTTTTTTCGTTTACCTACTCCTACGGACTAAGGTCTAAGCGAGTAGGTGTTTTTTCTGCTTGCTTGGCCGGACCTAAGAACAAAATCTCTCTCACCTAAGATGCTGAAATAACAAATATAGGAAACTAAAAAAGAAATCATTCCGGTGGTGAAGGCACCCACAAAACCAGCGTCCCCCCTTCCGGAATTCATTGGGCACAGTCTCTCTCTCCAGACCTCGACCACTTGAGGTTGAGCGCACGGGATACGGCTTTAGGGCCCGCTATTCCCTTCTACTTAATAGGGGGCCGCCGATTTTCCGCGTCCCCATGTGCCATGAGAACACCCCAAGTGCATGCCGCCGCCGCGCCCGCCACATGGGTCATGGGCTCTGCCATCGGCATAGATACAACAAGGCGCAAGCTCGCCGTGGAACGGCGGGAGGTGTACGCGACCAAGTACGCGACCCACTCCCAGTAGAAATCGGGCCGGGCGCGTCGTTCCCTCCGCCCACGGTTCACAGCTGAGCCTGAGACGAGCGGCGGCTCTACACACACTACAGCTCTATACGGTCTCTATACTGGGCTGGGTTTTTAGGCATTGTGGGGTTGGCACTCCCATCGACCCTCATGACCTCCTGCGGTCTCTGAGATGGACACCAGTGGGTGTGGGACCACAGCCAGGATACACTCGAAGGCTGGGTAAGCAGTAGAGGTCGATACTCGACGCGTCCCACATGATCTGTGTCGCTGTCGGCACGCTGTCGACAGGACGTCGAGCGACACCGGTGACAGTGCCACCCAGGAGTGGTCGGGCGGTCTCCCGTCATGAGAGAGCCACCATGTGATCCGTATGATGATTCCTGACAACCGCCTCAGTCAACTTTCGTCACAGTTCCCGCTCTGAGAGGAGCTGCGGGTCAGCTCGACAGCTGGAGCTGTGTCGCCGGCGTGCGGCGGCCTGCCTCCGGAGGTGCCTCTGAGGTGGACATTTTTTGGTCACCGTGAGAGAACGCGTTCAAATTTTCACTCCGGAACTTCAACTCCGCACGCGCACCGGCCAGGGCTACAATAGTGCCAGTGAGGCGGAGGCGCGAGTCAGAAGGCCGCGACCGTGATTTGGTCCCTTCGTTTCCCTACAATTGCTGTGAACCCAGCCACGTAGAGCCGTAGAGCTATAGAGAGGGGCGGGGGCAATTTAACCAATATACACCGTGTATCGACAGTGAGTGTATGCAAAAAATGCAGCGGGGGAACCTTTTTGTTTTTTTAATATACGTTTTTGTCCTTGGTCTATCGATCTAAGAAAAATGTCACCAACAATAACGCGAAACGCGGTTCCTGCGCATAGCAACAGCCCACAACGCCACCGCCAAGCTCAACGACTCCCGGCGGCAAGCGGCATGCCCCACCCGCCTCGCTCGGCCCTCTCTGGCATTCTCAAATACTGGACCACAGACAGTAGTAGTTGGTACAAGTGAAGCAGAGCGCAAAATTGGGGCGCGGGCAATCGGCCCCCGCACTCCCTCACCCCTCCTCCGCCGGCCCGACGGGGGCGCCGCCCTCCTCGCCGGCGAGCGGCCCCACCAGCTTGGCCGCCTCGAGCACCGCCTCGAGCTCCGCCAGCCGGCCCGACGCGGCGCTGGCCGCCGACGCCCTCTCGAGCGCGTTGAGCGCCGCCTGCAGAGGCCCCGCCGGCGCGAGGCGCGCGCGGTTCCGGAGGAGGGCGCTCGTGATGGTCTGCGCGCACGAGTCGTCCACGGCCGCGAGCAGGCCGGCCACGTCGAAGCTTGCCGCCTGCAGCGTCGGCGGCGGCACCGGGGAGGGCCGCGACCCTTGCGCGGGAGGAAGGCCGAGCGAGGGGCGGAGGAGCAGGAAGAGCACGTGCAGCACCTGGTCGCGCGTCGCCGCGACGTCCCACGCGCCCAAGGCCGTCTGGCGGCGCGCCTCGGCACGGGCGTCGTCCGAGGTGCGGTGGCGGAGCCAGCCGGCGCACTTTGCGAGCAGCGCCATGATCGGGAGCAACGTCTCCCACCGCGCATCTTCGTAGAGTGCGGCGCCGCACGCGTCGAGGCAGGCGCACAGCTGCGCCGTCGCGCCGCGCTCGCACGCCGTCGCCACCTCCTCCTCACCCGCCATGCAAATGACGAGGAGCGGCAGCACGTTGGCGCGGTTGGTGAGCAGCTTGTTGGAGCTGAGCGCCACGCCGAGCGTGCGCAGCCGCCAATCGGCGTTGACGCCGGCGGAGGAGCGCAGCAGGCTGCGCAGGGTGTGGGCGAAGGGGTCCGGCTCCTGGTCGGGCGTCTGCAGCAGCTGCACGTACTCAGCCGTGTCGACGATCACGTACTTGATGGCCCACTCCCAGTTGCGATGCGGCACGAGCACGCGCAAGCAATCGTCGCCGCCGGGGCAGTCAAGCATCTCGCGCAGCAGCCCGTAGAAGGAGGGCAGGAAGGCGCGGTTGTACTCGAGGAACCGCTCGTTCGGCCGCAAGCTGACGAACGAGTCGAGCAGCCGGTGGAACGCCGCGCTGAGTGCCTGCGGCGGCGGCGCGACCAGGGGGGGGGCGCGCGCCACGCACGCAAAGGAAGCGCGCGTCGCCGCGTGCCAAAAGGAGAGCATCTCGCGCTTGGTCTCGTCGCACTCGAAGCGGTGCCCGTCCTGCAGCGCGTACAGGTCCTGCAGCTCCTCGACGCGCAGCGAGGGCGAGACAGCGCCGCGCCGCGCGCACCACGCGCACAGCCGAAAGTACGGCGCCAGCCGCGGCGGAGGCACGTCGTCCGGGTGCTTGGACGCCTGCGCGCCGGCCGCCGCCGCCGCGGGCAGCTCGCGCAGCTCGCGTAACACGACGTGGCTCACGAGGTGCTCGTACATGCTCAGCAGCGCCGGCGAGCAAGCGCCGGCGCCCCCCTCGGCGACGGCGAGCTCCGGCGCGGCGCCTGACGGCTCGACCGCCATCTCGGTCACCACCTCGGTCGCCATCGCGTCGCCGGTCAGCCCAAAGTCCGCGGCCGCGCCGGTCTCGGCCGCAAGCCCTGCCGGTGGCGGCGGCAACGCCGCGCCGACCGCCGTGTCGCCGGCCGCCGCCGCCCCCGCCGCGGCGGCGGAGGGCTGCGACTCGGCGGCGAGGATCGCCTTGATGAAGTGCTCCGCGGTGCAGCGCACCTGCGACGATAGGCCCGAGAGCAGCCACTCCTTGACCCACAGCGCGCGCTGGTGCAGCATCCAGCGGCGAGGGCGGGACGAGAGGACGCAGAGGGAAAGCAGCGCTCGCATGCACGAGATCGTGGCCTGCTTGTACCGCATGTTGTTCGAGATGACGTGGAGGAGCCGCTGCAGCGCCCAGTCGATGCGCCACGCGGCGAGCGAGTCGGCGAGGTCAACGACGTGGCAAAACGTGGTCAGGTACGGGCCGAGCTGCTCGTTGTCCATCGTGTCGATCCCCGACAGGATGACGTGCAGCGCCGTCTCCGTCGCGTCGCGCGACTCGTAGCACAGGTGCTCGCACAAATCGCAGATGGCGGCGACGTGGAGGCCGTCCTTGAGCAGCCGCCGCAGCAGCGCGCCGTGGCCGAGCAGCTGGTACTCGTCCGCCGCCATGTGTAGCAGCCGCCCCTCGAGGGAGAGGGGCGTGCGCGCGACCGGCTCGTGCCGGTGGGCCGCGCGCGCCAGCAGCGAGAGGAGCGCGACCATGTGCTCGAGCTGCGGCAGCGTGCACTTGTCGCCCATGCGCGCGCGGCGCGGCGCGGCGCGCCCCTCGTCGAGGTGCGCCGGCAGGCCCACGCATGGCGACTCGTCGGCGAGGTAAAAGTCGACGAGGTGAGAGGCGAAGCGGCGGCGCAGCATCCAGCCGCGCTCCTCCGGCCCCAGCTGCGCCATCGCGAGCGCCGTCTCGAAAAAGTGCGAGAAGTGGCGCCAATGGTGCGGCGCCTCGGGGAGCAAGTCGAGCAGGCAGCCGAGTAGCCGCAGGCCCGCGGGGAGCTCAGGCTGCGGCGCCGCCGCTAGCGAGGAGGAGGCCGCGGGCGCCGGCAGGCTGCTGTCCGTCCGAGCGCGCTTTGGCGGCGAAGTGAGAATCCCGCCGGCGAGCGCGTCTTCGTGCGCCGCCAGCCGCACGCCCGCGTCGAGCATGCCCGGCTCCTCCTCCTCGCCCTCCTCCTCGTCCGTGCCCTCGAGGCTGCCGCTCAGCGACGTCGTCACCACAACCACCGGCGGCGCCGTGTCCGGCAGCAGCGGCGCAATCGGGTACAAATGCAGCTCCAGCGGCCTCAAGACGGCGGCGGCGTGCAGCAGGAGCTGCGCAAACTTCTCGCGCATCTCCGAGACGGTGCACGCCAGCAAGAGGGAGCGCACCCACCCTGCAGCCTCGCTCTGGAGCAGGAACCAGCGGCAAGCGACGGGCGAGCGGTGCAGCCACATCTGCAGCATGCGGACCCACTCGGGCAGCAGCGACTTGTCCTTTGCGTGCGCGAGCGTCTCGACGACGAAATGGCAGCCGAGCCGCAGCGCGCACATGCCCACGTCGTGCATCTCGTTGAGCGCGGCGAGCGGCGCGAGCGGCGCGGCGCCCGCCGCGGCGGCGGCCGCAGTCGCGTCGTGATCGGCGGGCGCAGCCCCGGAAGCCACCGAACTGAACGCCATGCGCACGACCCGGAGCAGAAACTCGAAGTGCAGCCCGTCCACGAGGTAGCGGTCGCGCAAAAAGTGCATGTTCTCCGCCCACACCTCGCGCGCAACCTCCTCGGGCACGGCCACCGAGAGCGCGGCGTCGCTGCAGAGCCTGGCATGCTCGACGTACTCTGCCCCCGCCGTCGCGCCCGCCTCGCTGTCCCCGCCCTCCGCCTCCGCCCCGGCCTCGGCCTCGGCCATCGGCTGGTCGCGCGCGCCGTCCCGCCCCTCGCCACGCGGGACCGCCTCAGGCGCGCCCTCCCTGCTCTGCGCGTGCGCAGATACCTTCTCGTAGAAGAGCATGTAGGCCGAGTGCGGCTTCACCTGCGTGCGCTGGACCGGCTTGTTGGTGTCGACGTCCCACGAGACGACGGGCTCCACGCCGCCGAAGCAGTTCTTGCCAATCTCACTCGAGTCGAAGGGCTCGACGAGCGTGTCGTTGAAGTGCAGCCACGGGTGGGCGCCGGGCTGAGCGGCGCGTCTCTCGCGGATGAAGGAGTAGTAGTGCCCCGAGTCGGAGGTGCCGGTGTGTACCAGCACGCCCGCGAGCTCGTACACGCAGTCGCCGTCCTCCTCGTCGGCCGGGGACGGGCCCTCCGCCTCGCCGAGCAGCTTCTCCTGCCGCTCGAGGTAGCGGACCGTGTACGGCGCCATGTCGATCGAGGGCGGGAACTCGCAGTGGTCGTACAGCTTCATCTTCTTCATCAGGTCAAAGTCAAACTCGAAGCGTTTGAGGTGCAGGATAAGCACGGGCGGCAGCCGCGAGATGCAGCAGCGCTTGGTGGCCTCGACGTACTCGCCCTCAAAGTTGTACTTGTTGTCCCCGTCGAGCGTCTCGCCCTCGACAAACTGCGCCAGCCCGTCCATCACGGACGCCTTGTTCTTGACCTCGATCGAGATGACGAAGAAGGGCTCCACCCGCTCCGAGAGGCGCCGCCCGGCCTTGTCGATGATCTGGTTGACGACGGAGCCGCCGAAGAGGGACTGCAGCAGCTTGGGCGAGCTCGTCCGCCCGAGCCCCGCCTCGAGCTTCTCGAAGAGCATGTTGAGGAACTCGTCGACGTCCATCTGGACCGACGGGTTGAGCGGCAGGTTCTCGCAGTCGCGAAAGGCGCCGCAAAAGTCGCGCGTGTCGTACCAGCGCTTCTCCGACTCGTGCAGGTAGCCAAACATGGCCTGCAGGTAGTAGAGCACGTCGCCGCCGCCCGGCTCGTCCGCCGCGCTCAGGTCGGACGCCGCGTCGGTCGCCGAGGCGGGGGCGGGCGGCTCGATCTGGAGCGCCAGGATGGCCGCGCGGAACTCGGGGATGAGGAAGAGCTGCTGCACGAGCGAGTTGAGGTAGCAGGTCGCGCCCAAGTTCTTGAGGCCGACGTAGCCGCAGCGCGACTTCTCGTGCATCGCCGGCGCGTAGTGCCACATGTACGAGACGCGCGAGTGGCCCGAGCGCGACAGCTGCTGCGCGAGGAGCATCTCGAGGAGGAGCGACAAATTGGCGGGCTCGCGCTCGGCGAGCTCGGCGAGGAGCGCGAGCGCCGCGGCGCGGCAGCGCGGGGTCTTGCACTGCGGCGGCGTCAGCGCGCCGATGCGGCGCGCCTCCTCCACCGACGGCAGCCGGAAGAGGTCGTCGAAGATGGCGACCACGAGGTGCGTCCCGCCGTCAGCGCCGCCCGCATCCACAGGCTGCCGCTTGAGGTGGGGCTGCGCGCGGAGCAGCACCCGCATCAGCCGCAAGTAGCCGACCAGCTCATGGTCGACCAGCTCGGGCGCGTCGCGCCGCTCCACCACGGGGTGCGACTGCTGCAGCTGCAGCAGCCTCGCAAACAGCGCGGCAGCGGGCAGGTCGGGCAAGCTGCACGAGGGGCACCGGCCAACGAGCGACCGGAGCAACTCGAAGAACTGCTCCGAACGGGATGCCTCCGCCCCCGCCGGGGGCAGTAGGCTGAGCATCTCGCCCACGAGCGCGTGCAGCGGGGATGGGACGCGCGCGGAGGCAGCCGATGCTCCGGGCGCAGCGCCGCCCCCGCCGGCTTGCGGCGGCGACGACGGGTGCTCCGCGGCGAAATCGTCGCGCGCGAGGGCGTAGAGCGCGGCGCACGCCTCCTCCCGCACCTCGGGCACGCGGCAGCGCAGCAGCATCGCCGCCACCCACTCGCGCAAGCTCGGCAGGTCTGCGGGCAGCCTCGCCGCCTGCGGCTCCTGCGCGGAGCCCGCGGCGCCGCCCTCTGCGGGCGAATGGGAGCAAGCGACGAGCAGCCGTAGCGCCTCGCGCACGATGTGCACGTCCTCCTCTGCCGCGGGCGGGGGGGGCGGCGGGTCGACGGAGCCGCTCGCCTCGGCACAGACGGCCGCCTCGGCGAGCGCAATGTGCCGCACGAGCCCCATCAGGTGCGCGCTCAGCGCAACCTCCGCCGCGAGCGCCGCGAGAGACGCGTCGCGCAGAGGGGCGAAACGGCGGCCGGTCCAACGCGGCTCGTCGCGCGCGCCCGCCGGCGCCGGTGCTGGTGCACTCTGCGCGGTCGCGGCGTCGTGGGGCGGCTGAAGCTGCGCGCCCGCGACGGCGGGCGCGGGCGCGGGCGTTGCCTGCGTCGCCTCCTCGAGGAGGAGCTGGCCGACGACGCGCAGCAGCAGCACCAAGCACGTCTTCCGCTGCGAACCGCGGTGCTGCCCGAGCAGCTCCTCCGCCGGCGCGGTGAGCAGCCGGAGCAAGTGGCGCAGCCCCCCGCGCGCCGCAAAGGCGCCGAGCCACGCGTCGTCGCCGTCCTGCATCAGCGTGTCGACAATCTGCAGCGAGTAGAGCAGCTTGAACGCGCTGCCGCCTTCCGGAAGCAGGACCGGCCACTCCGGCTCCTGCCCCGGCGGCAAGGCGGGGAGCCTCTCCAGCCCGGTCCGCATCTCGCGGTTGGTCGGGAGCATCATCATCAGCTGCCACGCACGCGCCGCCAGCCGCTCCTCCTGCAGGCTGAGCAGCGCGAAGAGCGTGTCAAAGTTGGACCCAACCTCGTGCAGCGTGATGCTTCCCTCCTCTGGCCACGCGGCCGCCTCGCCCGCCACCTGCGTGGCCCCCTCGCCCGCATCGCCGCCGCGCTCCTCCGCCTCCATCTCGACGATGCCGTCGCCGCTCGCGGCGGGCGCGTCCTCCTCGCCGACGACGGTGGTCAGCTCGGCCCGCGGCAGCAGCTGCGGGCGCAGCATCACGTGCACCTGGTACGGCTCGCGCAGCTTGAGCTCGCCGAGCGACTTCCAGTCCTCCTTGAGCTCGCGGCCCGACGAGATCATCCGGAGCGAGCTCGGCTGCGGCGGCGGCGCCTCCCCGCCCAGCGCAGCGTCGCGCAGCTCTTGCCACACCCTCCTGCGCAGCTCGTCGACCGTCTGGTTGGAGTGCATGCGCAAGCTCGGCCGCAAGCCGCTCGCGCCGCCAACCAGCATCACCTGCACCGTCATCGGCGAGCCGCGCACGCACGCGCCGTGCCGCCGCGACAGCGAGCCACCCGGCGTGAGCGGCGCCCGCTTCTCGAGCTCCGTCACGAAGAGGCGCAGCATGGTCAGGCACCGCTCCACGCAGAGCTGCAGCGGCTCGCGCACCAGCGCGGCGGCCTCGGCGTCCCGCGCCGGCTGCCCTGCCGGCGGCGACGCGAGCTGCAGGGCGCGGAGGCGGCTTGCCGCCTCGTCGAGGGACGACATGCACGAGCTGACAAACTCGCGCTGCTGCTGCCGCACGCGCGACGCCTCGATCTGCAGCGAGTGGTGGAGCAGCACCAGGAAGCGGATGGCGCGCACGCCGACCGCCTCATCGCGCGTGCGCAGCGCCGCCGCCCAGAGCGTCTGCACGCCGTGGAGCGGCACGTCGAGCACCGAGATGTTGGACTGGTCCTGCTGCGCGAAGCGCTGCTCGCGCCAGTTGATCCAGCGGAAGAGGTACTCGATGCAGGCGTACGCCGTAGGGGAGAGGGACTCTGCGGACAGCTCCGAGGCGCGGCGGAAGAGGTACCGCGTCGCCTCCGGCTCGATGGCGGAGACCGAGTTGGTCCGCACCTGCTCCACCCACCGGAAGATGAGGTCGCGCTCGCCCACGCACGAGCCGCACACGACGCAGCGGTTCCACAGCACGTCAAGCTGCGCCTGCGTCAGCGCGATCTGCGGCCCCTGCACCATGCAAAAGTTGAGAAACTCCACCCGCTGCTCCAGCTGGTCCATG